CTTAAAGAAATGTTAGGGTTTTTAGGGGGGGCTTTATATAGAGGGGGAAATTTTTTTTTTTTTTTTTTAAATTGTAATTACATTTTATGCGAGTGCTTATTATTACGTTATTAGTGGATAGAATATTGATTTTTATTATTTAAGGTGGAAACGTGGCGAGCCTTCCTTAGTGGTCTTTTGGATTAGGACGCGTGGCACTTTATATTTTATATTTTTTTGTTTTTTGTCTTTTTAAGGCAAAGCCCTTTTATGCAAGTGTTTGCCTTTCATTGTTTAAGGAAAAGAAAAAGGTTGCCTTTTATTCATAGATCCAACGATATTGAAAGGTGATTTCCCATTAGGGGGTGTCTATAATGGGTTGAGTATTATACGCATATCATGTTTATTTATTTGTAATCAGAGTGGATATAAATTAAATTAAAATGAATAGAATTTGAAGTGAATAAGAATTAGAGTTAAAAATCAGAGTCAGAATAAATTGTTTATTTAGGTTTCAGGAATCAGAGTAAGAATTAGTCTTAATCTCATTCATGCATTTATTTATACCCAAAAATAGAATAAACGGTTATAAATTTACTAACTTACCATTTTAGTAGAATTTTATGTGGTGAACTTTAAAAAAAAAATAATTGTATATTATGCTATCTTAATATTAGGATAACTAATTAGTAATTAGATTTTTTTAATCACACCTAGAGTTTCTTTTAATTAGTAATTAGAAATTGTAATGGTCTAGAGCTCCACGAATCTTTGAAATGATGATGTGTAATCAAGGGGCAAAACATAGTTTGATCACAAATTCAACAAATAAACACAAAAAAAAAATAAAAATAAAAAAATAAAACTTGCGATTCAATAAAAAAAAAAAAAAAAACCACGGTGATTTATGTTATTGACTCACCTTGAAGAGAATAGGGATGCTCTTAGTTGCTGTAGATGCAATGTTGTGTTTTGAGGAGAAGAAAATGTTAGAGGAAGTGAACAAGAAAATATGAGAGGTGTGAAAGTAAAGTAGAGCATTTTTAATTTTTTACTTTTCTATTCAGAAATTATTAATAGAATTAAGGGTAAAATTATAATTCATATTTATTATTAAAATTAGGAGTGCTAATCCGGTGGGGTAGGGAGGGTAAAATCGTAGTGTGCAAAGGGATATTACATGGATGAGCCATACACTAGGACAAGGGATGAAAATAAATCTCTTACCATTGATTTCTGTATAATGTATATGATATTTAGTGGGATCATATTGAATATTGACCGATAAAAAGGTAATATATTAGCACAACTTTTTAAAAAGTTATGAACTTTATATGCAAACAAATTCAAGGATGCTTACAAAGGCAGGAACATCAATCTCTTTTTGTTTGTATTTTTCTCCTCTTTTTTTTTTGTTTTTTAGTTTAAAGGTAAATGTTTGAGTTATTCTCACTTTTACCCTCCAGACATTGCACCCACTTACATTCGTCCTCCGAGTTTCTAAAGAGTTTCACTTTACTCCAAACTATTTAAACATCCTTGTTTTACCCCCCAAATGTTAGCTAGATAAATCGTTAAAGTTAGATGAAAGGAAATATATTAAAGCTGAGACCATGTGACTCCCTTACAATCTAAAGAATGGCAAAGCATGGATTTGAAGACGAAGAAGACGACTGATAGCAGGGTGAATTTGTAAGAAACAATTCGCTTTGAAGAACTCTAGATTGAAACAAGGATTGCAACAAGCTGAAAATTCTATCCATAAGAATCCCAAAAATCCAATTTGAAAAACCAAATTTCAAACAAAAGCCCCCCAATCAATTTGATCAAACATAAATTTTATCCACTTTGTAGCTATAAAAAATTCAACAAATAAAACCTAATAACTACGAATTTAACAAAATTTCTTAATCGATTTGATGATCAATAGCCCCAACATTACGCACTATACCGTTAGTTTTAGGTTTTTTTTTTTTTTTTTTTTTTTTTTTTTTTTTTTTTTTTTTTTTTTTAAAAAAACACTGGTTTTTTTTTTTTTTTTTTTTTTTTTTTTTTTTTTTGGCTTGGTTTGAATAGAAAATCGTGACCATAATCTTTGGTTTAATGACATGAGAAGGGGGATTTGGGAGGGTTTTTGAGTAAGGATTGTTGGTTTGATCCACTTGTAATCGTATTTCTTATTTACAGAATAACATATGCTATACCATGCACTTTTCTTTAAAAGAGAAAAAATAAAATAAAACGACATCCTAACAACGCGATCTTAACCCTTTATTTTCCATCAAAATCCCATATTTATATTTTCTTTTCTCCTTAGACATGTGGCCTCACGTTTATTTTCTATCGTTATAACAACTAACCTATGGTTGGGGTGAAATAAGACGTTTGCAATTTTTAGTAAAATTCACTTTTAGAATTTGAGGAGAAAAATAGGAATGAGTACAAAGTTTAGGCATAAAATTGGGAGTAATCGTTTTTTTTTTTTTTTTCTTGGATAATTACTTTTCTTTAATATAAAGGATATAGGATGAGAGATTCATCCACTTGCAATTCATGGCGACAATCTCATAGGATCACCCCACAATATTATAATATTTGTTATAACTATTTTAATATAATCATATAAACACATATTATATACATTGGCTTCCATTAGTTGGAATACGACATTCATAAGCAACCACAAGGGATGAACCAACGTGTTGAGAGACAATAGGGGCCGCATACGGCGGCATTGAAACCCTAATTCTTGGACATGAACATGCCTGATCAGGAAAATATAGTTATTTACAAAACATATTTTATTGTAATTATTTTTGCTTTTCAGATATTGGACGGCCCAGCTTTGTCCACTTTATGGTATCACACTCGGTTGGCAACATCTTTTCTCTAACATTAAAAAATATACAATCGATATTATTCGTTAATGGGTGTTGTTTGCTTTCTCCACGCAATCATGATTAAGTGGGTCACCGCAATAAAACGAGGTTTCATAACGAAGTTAACTTTGTACCCAACAGAATATACATAATAGTGGACGCGCTTGTCACATATATCATATATATCATATATACACATATGTAACATTGACGTCCATGACAATATATATATATATATAATTTATTGATCATGATGATCTTACCGACATCTCAATAGTAGTACTTTTAGACAATCAGGGTAATGCATGAATTTATATAAAAATTGTGTAGATTACGAAATTGTTACAACACTAATTTTTAGGTCAAATTTATTAGCATGTGAAAAACGCCTAGTACTTCATCGTTCATTTATTCATCATGTACAAATTTTTGTGGAAGGCTAGCTATATACAGTAATACTTGTTTATTAATTATTAGTATTCATCGTGCGTACGTAAGCTCATATATATGTATATATTTATATATATGTGTGTGTGGCCTTTTTCGATCATTTAATAACTTGATTCGCGTATGTAGATATATATGGCTGTCTTCTCAATATAGATAAGCATTTAATAATTTCCAACCTCGAAACTAGTATGTACATGTATTTATATATATATATATATATATATATTATTCACTTCTTTTATGGTTATTCAGAAAATCAACACCCCTAGCCTCTTAATAATATATAAAAGTGAGAAGAACAGTACTGACGTTACAAATATGTTTAACAATAATTTAGCATAAATTTTCTTAAATTTACATTACCTAAATAAATGTAATGTTACACTTTTCACTTCTATATATTATGAGAAATGTTAAATCCGTATATAATATATATATATATATATAGTAAATGTGATTAAGGCTGATCTGATAGCTTTGATTACACCAGGGTAACAAACTACAAATACGGTATTTATTTCTCGGCAAGCAGAATTGCATTGCCAATAGTATTACTATACTTTTACATTCTTAAGTGTCACACGTACTGAAAAACATAAAACTAAAAAGCAAGTACTCGAAAGAAGAGAAAAACCCCATGTCACACATATAACTTCAACGTTATACAATTAATATATATATATATATATATTGACCAGCTTATTTATATTAGCAAATGGTCAGAATATAATTATAACAATATTATTATATCATCATGTTGTATTGTCGGTCCTGAGAGATATAAACGTTGAGATCATTAGGAGCTGAAGAAGTTGAAGCCAGATGGACCGATGTTGGTGATGTTAAGCAAGCCGCTGACGATGTTTCCGAGAAGCTTCAATGGGGAGATGAGGGAACCGTCGGAAGGCAAACCGGCGTTGCAATTAGAGAGTGGTGTGGCAACCACAAGCTTGCAATCTTGCAACAATGTGGAGAGGATCAATTTTAGAGGATCCATCAATATGGAGAATAATCCGGAGCCGTTGGTTGTTGTGCTAGACACCACGTTGCCATTTCCACACTGCAGCTGCACAAGAGCATCTAACAAAACAAACACAATTGATTAATTAGTATGGGTGTAAATAATTAGGCCATCATGAGAGAAATATATATATATATATATATATATGTTGGTGATTAAGATCCCTACTCATGTTAATTAATAGACCCTTCAAAGTTTTCTAAAGTGATATTTGTTTGGAAAACATGGGTACTTAGAGGTGCGGAGCTATGTACAGTCGAGAGTAAGCGGCCGTCCCACCTAGAATTGTAAAATTGATGAAATTAGTAGACCCACCTAGCATCTACAAAGTGATTTTTTTTTTCCCCCGAAAAACACATGATATAAAGTTATTTTTTCTTTTATACAAACTTGTCAAGGGCAAATTGGATAACATTTAGGCTAGAACGATAAAAATTTTATTTAAATGGGTGTCGAAATAGAATTGAAAAATGGATGTGGGCTTACTAGGGAAAACTGGGGTAGAAGTGCCATTGACCCCAATTCTGCCATTGGCAGTACAGTATACAATGCCCTGTATGTTCACCAAACTAAGGAGATTGCCTATGATATTCCCAAGTTGGGCTTCGGCCATTGGAGCTGCCACTATTGCAGCAACCAACATGCACATCACAAACACAAGTGACTTTTCCATTGCCATTATTGTTCTTTCCTAAAGACTATCAATAGCAATATGGCTAATATCTAGCAAGCAAATTCAAACAAATTAACAAAAAGTAAACTAGTTTCCTTTTGCTTATAAACTGAACAGTTTACTATCACTTGACTTGCACAAAAAATGTTGTGCACGTAACCTCTACTTATAGCAAGATCGTGGCCAAGTTGCTGCAGTTGTTTGTTGACGATAACCGGTGCGAAAAGAAAGTACAAGTTGGATGATCTTCAACTTTACGCCGAGAACAAAACAGTTGAATTATTGTCCTCTTCTTTGTTTTTATCAAAATCTTAAGGTTGTCATGAAACCTTCTAATCTTTTCCATGCATGCGGATTTTAACTTGTGGGCATGCCTCTGGATTTTTTGAAGCATGCCTCAGTTTGTTGCGTTTTTGAATTCGAAAAGTAGTTGGGGCTCCCTAGCTAGCTAGCTAGACAGATAGAAAACGTGCAAATTGCCTTTCCTAGATGACAAACACATTTTGGTGTATTCGCAAAATGTGTGGCGAGTCATAACTTCAAAAAGTTTTTAGATGCAGGTCCAATATAGCTCTAGAGCTTAATATGCCTTTTTTTTTTAATTATTTATATTGGTATTTTTTTTTTCAACTTTTCTAATAACATGTTTGCTTGAGTTGCTTCTTTCTCCGGGCATTTAGGGTTGACAATGCAGAAAGCAACATTGGTTAGATGTGATGGTCTTAAGTCTTTCTGATATTGTTCTATCTAAAACAGTATTTGTGATATTGATTCACTCGGATCTTGGTTGGCTTTATTTTTACTCGAGATTTCCGCATCTAGCCTATTATTTTGTATCAAAAGAAATCTTAGAGTGAATGCTTTGCCTCAGCGGTCTAAAAGTAACCTTAAAGGTTACCCATAAACGATGCAGACAAAAATAAAATAAAATAAAACAAAATGAAAAATATGATTGTCAGTAATAATTAAAGAAGAATTGGTGGTGATCACTTACATTGGCCGTTGCTAAAGAAAGGGTGATAATTGGCCATTGCAAAAGAAACAAGTCACTTCATATATTATCATATTTGCATTGTGCTCTTGCACGTTTGACAAGGGTTAAAAAGTATTGTCTTTATACAAACTTACAGGGAAAATTTGCCATTATTGAAGCAGATACGGCATAGCTTTAAAGCCTAGTGGCAGAATAGAATTGAGAATCATTGTGTACGGTAAGATGCAAGGAGCAAAAGAGAGGGAAATGACGCCAAATTTCTAACAAAGTTTTCAATCCTATAAATGGGATATCTTAATTGAAATACAAACATACATCACTTTTGTAGAAAATTTAGACTAAATTTTTACATCAAAGTGGTAGGTATACAACCTACTAACACACAAACTCGTTGATCAAAAAATCAGAAATGATAAAAAATATTATTAATATCTCTCCATTTAAAAATAAATAATTATTATTCAATTAATAAAGAGAAACAAAATGCCATAATGGCACTCAATATATTATTTTAAATGACATAAATAATAGTCTTTAAAATAAGCATCGACAACACCAAAAACTCAAAATTATTACAAGTATTAAACCTGAAGGGGGAAAAAAAATGAAAACAAGGTTTTCCTTTCATATCATAAAAGTAATTCCTAATCATTATTGGCCTTCCCACATCGTAGTTACAACTGGCATAGACATGGATCCTAGGTTCAACATGAGGATCTCCGCCTTTGCAAGCTTTGAGACCTTTCCTTGCCTCTCTCAGGTCTCTGTCATCACACCCAAGAGCCTTCGCAGAAGGAACAAGTTGACCTGAAAAATCATAGAGCAATGTTCAGCTGCCATTTTACAAAACTACAGAACAAAGATTTATGATCACAGCCACCTAAATGATCAAACGAGTTTAGTCAATCAAGAAATGATACATAAATGATTTTCGCAACTACGCTCCCAACCTCAAATTCAACAAAACACTCCAGGAGAGATCCGACGCGACCAGAAATTTGACCCGCCAATTAATCAGCACGCGTCAAAGTCAGATCTGTTGAGCAAAAGTATTAACTTGAATTTGATTTTACGCAGCATAATTTCACCTACACTAGAATTTGAAAAAGCACAAAGTCTCTTCCCAACCTATATTAACTAATTAGGAAAAGACAATAAATATTAAATAAGAAGGGCACATGGAGATGTCTTAATATACTTCTTTTTCAACCATCCACAACAGAGGTTTTCAACCCCCATATCTTAAATTTGTTGATGTGCAAATGAAAGAGGGAAAAAGAAAAAGGCAAATTAGTTGGATCTTTTGTTTCCCCTACTCGAAATCAAACAAAGAAATCCTGCTCAAAATCCCACTCCAATCAAACACAAACCAAGAAAAAGAACAAGACAAATTGATCAGTGAAGACACTTTCATGCCATAGTTCAAAAATCTTGGACAGTTGTACTGTAGAATGTCCACATTGAAACCTATGAATACATGAACCTATGGACAAAATAATTACTAATTAAGTTACTATCCAGCAGTTGTTGTGTTGGGAAATAACAGCAGCAATGATTAATACATTACTTCCAAACTATTGGATGTGGCATGCACAATCTTCAAGTCAGTAAACCACAAATTTACGTCGGTAGACACTCAAAGCGCAAAGGCATACCCTAATCAGATACTTCAGAGAAATCCTCGGGAAATCACGCATCTCTCGCGGTTTCGCAAGTTCTCTTTCTTGGAAGCAAAAAGTGCAGTAAGCCGCTGAACGAAAAGTCATACAAAAATAAATAAATAAATAACACCAAAAAAAAAAAAAAATGCTCGGAGCAAACCAAACTCCGCGAGCACCATCGAATCATGATTGACCCCTAACACCAAATCAAGCAAAAAGCCGAGAAAAGAGTTGGGAGGAATACCAAAAAACCGAAAAGAAGATAAAAGTACCAATTTTAGACTAGTGGTCAAAGAGGAAATGGAACCAAGATTCTCCAAATAACAATGTCTAGAGCAACTCAAATCATATTAGTCATTTTATATTTTTAGCTAAAATAACTAATGATTTAAATTTTCATGCATTGTAGGTTTAGTAATTTGAGAGATTAGAGTGATAAAATTTCTTTAGATGGTGTAGTGATTGTGACTTCTAAGAAATTTAGGTAACTTGGATCCATAGTGCAGTGTGAAGGGGATATAAATGAGAATATTGGACATAGAATTGAGGCGGGATGGATTAAATAGAAGAATATCACGGAAGTTTTATGTGATGATAAGATGCTATAAGTTGAAAGGAAAATTTTATAGGACAACAATTTGCCCAGTTATATTATATGATAGTAAATGTTGAGAGAGACAACAAATATACAAGATGAGTGTGGCGGAGATACGTATGTTAAGATGGATGAGTGGTCATACGAAGATGGATCGCATACGGAATAAAGTTATTCGTAGCAAAATAGATGTAGCACCAATAGAAGATAAGGTGCGGGAAAACCATCTGAGGTAGTACGGGCATGTATAACGTAGATCGTTAGATGCACTTGTTCGTGTTTGGGAGAACATCCAAACACCTAGTACTAGGAGAGCGAGAGGTAGACCAAGAATTACTTAGGCTGACGTAGTTAGGCACGACTTTCAAGATCTAAGGCTTCAGGAGGGTCTCATGTTTAATAGAGCAGACTGAAAACGATAGATCCATATAGCCGACCCTAATTAATTTAGGATTAAGGCTTGTATTTGTTGTTGTTGTTGTTTCTCCACTCCAGTCATTAGCTAACTGGTTAGCTATTTTGACTAAAGCAATTTCCGCTAGCTAAATATAACTAACGAGAAGTGGCTAATTATTTATTCTTTTTATTATTTTATTCTTTGTTTTGATATAAAATAAGAGTTACAAAAAGTTATTTATATTTTAAACTCAAAAAAAAAAATTAAAATAATCTATGTTTAGCTAAAATAGAGAGTATGGTTGCAGTGACTCACTAGAAAGTTGCTAGGTAAAATAGCTTTTTAGCCATTTTAGCTAGAATTTAGCTAAAATTTAGAGAGCTCTCTTGGAGATGCTCTTGGATTTTGATAATGAGGCATATTATGATTAGCTCTCTAAATTTTAGCTAAATTATAGTTAAAAGTGCTAGAAAGCTATTTTAGCTAACTTTTTAGTGAATCACTCCAACCATGCTCCTTATTTTTTCTAAATATTGATTCTTTTAATATTTATATTAAATTTAAAATATAAATATTTTTTAAAAATTTAAAAAGAGTCTTTGTATTTATTACCGTTGAAAGAATAAAATAATACAAAAAAAATAAAATAGCTAACCTCTCCATGCGTTTAGCTAGTGTGGAAGGCATTATATAAAATAGCTAACATTTAGTTAATGGTTGGAGTGGAGAAAAGCTAAAAAAAGCGATTTTAACTAAAATTATTAATCATTTTAACTAAAAACATGAAATAGCTAGTATGGTTGGAGTTGCTCTTATTGCCGATTCAAATGAAGATTCCAAATCACAAGCGCTGAAACTATTTGTATAATTGAAACAAAAATCAACAAATGGATACTATATTAAACAGATTAGAGGAACCGGAAAGTGTTGGGGGTGGCTCAAATTCTATGGGTGTAAAAGTGGTCTGTCATGCCCAATTGCACATTACAATTACAAGCATTCAGTACGAGGAATTATCTCTATCATAGCCACCCCAAACCAAACTTTTTTTTTTCAAAAGAAAATGAAAACAAAATTGAACCCGGAAAACAGTTTAAAGGCTCAGACACGCACAAATAATGTCATCAAAGTGCAATGTATAAGTAGAAACATTGCATAATTGGTCTATTATGTATATTGTCAAATATACATAATTCAGAATCGAGAAACGTAAATTTTGTCATCATCGCCTCACACTTTTTGCTTTATTTACTAGTTTATATCACAGATTGAATTAAAAAAAAATAAAATGTAATCAGAAAAAAATAAAATTAAAAGGTCAGGAAAAAAAAATGTTCAGAAGAAACTATATTGATAATGTGACTCATGAAAGAAGAACGTGAATGATAAAGGAAACAAAACCCTTCTCATTACTTCACAAATTCCACTTCTCTATCCATAAAGAAAAGCACTTTTATCACTAGCAAGATCAAAACTTTATCTCCTATATCCATACTTCACGGATTCTTCTCTATCCATATACATGAAAAATTCTTAACTTTTTTTCTTCTGAAAGTACTCAATAACATTTTATTTTAATTTTTCGTTTTCCTTTACAACTAGAGCTTATTAGCAAGTATTTTTTATGCAAAAATCAACTCCAGATAAAGATCCAACAACGGCAGACAACAATAATTGAAAATCCTGACTTGAGAAATATTTCTGAAAAGTTCTCCAATTCCAAAAGAAAGGGATAAAACAAAACACAGAATAAAAAGCGCACCAATCGAAATGATACTACAGAAAACTAGAATAAAACTCCAAAGAAATTGAACAAACGGAAGTCGCAAATCACCAAGACTCCATTTTTCTTGAGTACCTGGAAAATTCTAGAGAGAGAGAGCGAGCAAAGATAGGGGAGAAGTTCGCCGCTAGGGATGACTGTGTTGGGGGAAAACTGAAAAATGACCGCAAACTTTTATAGTCTAGGAGACATGTCGTTTTCTCCTCAAACAAAAGAGAGACACGTCGTTTATTGAGTACCAAAACTGAACAACATGTCGTTTTATTAGCATAAACGACAGGAACAGGAGGAGGAAGATGGTATGTCATAATGTGTATTTTAATGTTGCTATTTTCAGCTTAAACGACAGAAGAATTTTAAATGTATTATGTCGTTTATTACTGCGAATTAGTAACGCCAAAAACACATGGACTACGATAATGACAGGAAGCTGTTGTATTATAAGTGATATGCCGTTTTATCAGCAAATTCATAATGTACACGATACGTCACTTTGTCTCGCATAAAGGACTAGTGGAAGACAGTATGTCGTTTTTTCAACGTAAACGATTGCTGAATTTTAAATGAATTAATAAATACGTCAAACTTTCACATTTTTTTTTTTATTATTACTTTTAAGGACGAGTGCTTTTCTCACTAAACGACACGAGAAGATGGGAGATATATGTGTGTGTGTATGTGTGTGTCTATATATAATATAATATGTATATGTATATATTCACACACTCACACACGACATGCACAACAAACTTCCATCATAGAAACGATATTTCATTGCATAGCGACAATAACAAAGGGATGTCGTTCTACAGTTCGTGAGAGAGCAAAATACTAATATGAGAGTAAACAAATTAAAAGACTTTTAACTTTAAAACAAAAACGACATATCCCGTTTTGGAGTTGTAACTCGTGAATCTTTAACTAGAATCGACTGGGAATTTTATATACTAAAGACAATCTTACTTTGAACTAGAATGAGATATCGTTTTTCGACACTTTTTTAGCTAGTGAACGGTATGTCGTTTTTTGTCAAACGACAAACAGCATGTTGTTTCCCCACTCAGATCAGATGACAGCAAAACTTGGCTTAGACAGCAGAATTGATTCTTGAAGTTTATTCTGTGCAGGTTTCAATTGGCTAAAGTTTGCATGTATTTTCCTTCTTCTTGTTGAATACAACATGTCTTTTCCATACATACCTCACAAGAATGAACGACATTGAGAACATAACACTAGTCTTTTGGAAAAGAAAAAAAATTCTGTAATATATAAGCAATGTACAACAAATACGAAAGAATTTATAACTCTACCACTTACAAATCATCTTTCCTTGGCCAAGTACTGAGGCCTGAGGGTGTTTTTTCTAAAGCAGCTGAAAATTGACCTTATTCCCAGATGAATTAACAAAAGAGGCCTAACATTGGACATAAGGAGATTCTTTCTTAGAAGTGATTTCTTTTTTATTCCACATTTATTTCTGCAGCTATATTGATCTCTTCACTAATTGTCCCTTAATAACATAATTAAAACAATATATGACTAAAATGTTTTAGAAGCAGCAGCAGCAGAGTCCTTTTCGTCGCCGAAAATGCGTTGTCGGAAGTCGGAAACCATAAGAGGCAGTCCTTTCCTGAGGGACACAACAGGCTCCCAGCCAAGTAGCTCCTTGGCCTTCGAAATGTCTGGCCTTCTTTTGTGGGGGTCATCCTCTGTGTTAGGCCTAAACTCTATCTTTGCATTAGGGTCTATAACTTCTTGCACTACCTGCACATACCAAGGTACAAAATTTTTAACTTTTTTTTTTTTTTTGGTTTATTCAAATCCAAACATTAATACAACAATGCAATACAAAACCAAAGAATATGGAATCCACATATGCAAATTTCATAGACCAAATATGTGTTTATAATATAGAAGGAAATACTATTTGTGTGCTTCAAGAAAAGTCAATCGTGTAATATTACTTACCTGAGCAAGTTCAAGCATGGTGAATTCACCGGGATTTCCAAGATTAAATGGCCCAACATGATCTCCTTCCATCAACCGGATTAGACCCTCAACCTATTTTTTTATTTAGAAAAGAACACATTACAATTATTCAATAATCATATTCATGTATACTATATATGTTATGTCAATATAGTGAACATATATAACTAATTAGACCGTTTCTAGTCCATCATAATTGATTGAATCTATCTCATAATGAGGAATCCAAACTAGCATCTCAAAAAGCTTTTAACAACATATTAAGAGGAAATTAATTAATAGTTGAACACCAATCTAAGAAGATCATGTTAGCATTACAAGAATGATTATAGACAAAATAAGCATCTTTATGATGGGATTACTGAAATAGGACATGTAGCATGTATATGTTGAAAAATTCCACAGAATGATATGTACAGACAAACATGTATAGAGACTATTTCCTAACAAACCACCTTCACTAGGCTTATATATATGAAAAGGCATTAATATATATCATTTTCCATATGACTCTACCAAATTCCAACCACCATAAGGATCACTTTGGAGATGATATTTTGGGGCTATACTAAAATGAATGTTTTAAAGTCCAAATTGAATACTAGTAGAGATGTACTAGTCATTATCCCCTTGGTCCAATTCAAGAACATTAGGTAGGTAGTGTTGTATCGTTATCAAAGTTGCCATGCATAAATATACTGGTAAATATTGCCAAAAAGTACTAGTACACCTGATTTTCGATGTTTTACTTTATTCATAGATCTAGATAATATTAATAATAACATAGCTAAGATTTGACACATTCACATCTCAATCAGAAGAGAGCTAGCCGCATATATACATACATAAATACATGCATACATACTTACATATATATTATATATATTATATGTATATAATATGCATTTTATGTATTTGTGTGTGTATATATTGTTGGGCTTGCCCGTTAGCTTGTTTTGTTGTTTGGGCCCAAAGTCCATTGGTTTCTCACATGATGAATTGCCGACCAAGACTTGCTATTACGTACGTTAGGCATATACAAATACATATATGCGTGAGTTGTAGAGGGCAGTCGGCAGCCGCATAAGTGAGATTTGATCTCTTTTGTTTTTTCTATTGATACAGTTTTCTCTATTTTATTTTGGTGTAGGAATATTTAGTCATAGAATTATTTCTTTAACAGTTAGGGTTTTTATTTTTGAGTTGAGAGATTTTGGGTGTATTCGGAATTTGAGTGGTAAGAAATATTTGACAAACTTTTGTAATCTCCTTTGGTTGTAGTAGAATTTCTCCGTTGTTTCTGTTGGTGGACGTAGGCTAAAAGTCGAACCACGTTATATTCTCGTGTCTCTTGGATTTTTCTGTTATTCATATTTTGTCTTGAATCCGTTTAATTTAACTTTTTGCACAACAACTCGTATCAGAGATTTGGTTTATTCATCAAATTATTTTGCGTTTCTGGCTTCTACAACGACGACGAGATATGAAATTACAAAATTCAACAGTAAGAATAAGCTTGAAAGTCTATATATGACTATGTCTCTCACCAATCAGCTCTATCTGAAACAACGTTTGTGCACTATTCAAATGTCAGAAAATTTTGGGATCACTTGTTCATGGTATTTGAGTTCGGGTCGGATGTCAGTTTTGACGTTTATTGATGACTATGATGGTGTGCAATTTAGTGAGAGTTATGGGTTCTACAAGAAGAAGTTAGTGAGACACCATACTATTTGGGATTTGCCACAACAGTTGTTAGTTGCAGAGAGTATAAATTCAACTCTCTTGGGGAAAGCTTGTTGTTTGCTTTCTAAGTTTGGTTTCACTGCTTGCTATTTGGTCAGATCTCCATCAACTACATTTAGATTGAAACTCCATTTGAGGTATGGTTTGGTTGCTCTGTTGATTTTATTTTGAGATTTGGTTATTATGTTTGTGCTCATGTGAATGATGGTAAGCTTGAGCGAAGGACAAAAACATTCTCAGGATTTGAATCCGGGGTGAATGGCTATTGGTTGTGGTTATTGTTGGGCCAAAGTCACCAAAGTTGATAATTAGAAGAGTTGATGATGCCATTCTATTTGAAGACATGGAGTTAGTAGTTGCAAATAAAGATCCCAGTATTCATGAGCAAGTGGAGCTTGACAATCTGGTTTGTTTTGCATTAGTTGCGATAAGTTCGATGATCAAGTTGGTTGCCCTTTGGAAGTTTAGGCGTCGCTTGGACTTATTTGGTGTTGCAAATTAGAATTAGCCCTACGGGATTTTGAAGAAGCTAAATGAGGAGTTCATTATTTGGGCTTGGCTTAATTTTCACCAAGGTGGAGATTGTTGGGCTTGTGGTTTAAATTAGAGGAAATTACAAAAACTAACCCTAAACACATCCTTCTTGAATTCTACCATTTTGTTGTGATAGGTTACCCCTTTGATAATAATCAATCAAATTATAAATAATAATTTGTCAAATTTTAGATAAAAATTTATTAAATTACATTCGCTACTGGCGACCAAAAACCCGCTGTCGTTGACATCTGTTAAATTATCGATAATAATCTGTCAAATTTCTTACTCTAAAAGGATAAAATTCAATAGATTAATATTGAGACTAAAAAATTATTAATGATACCATTTTAGGGATATTTATCAAAATGACCCCTTAATAGTAGGAAATAGGCCAATATAAAAAGTTTAAGAAAGTATATAGGCCAATTTTTAGTTATAAAAATTAATAGGCCATAACTTGTCAAATTATGGTTCATAACCAAATAAGTTATGGACAAATTTATGAAGTTATGGTTCATAACTAAATAAGTTATGGACAAACTTATCAAGTTATGGTTCATAACCAGATAAATTATAGACAATAACTTGTCAAGTTATGATTCATAACTAGACAAGTTATGGACAAAAATAATAATTTAGTCTATTTATTAACTTATGTAAACTATTAACATATTAATTTTAATTCATCTCAAATCTTCACTTATTTTTCTCTTTTTCCCATAAATTAAATCCGTTAGCTTGTTTTGTTGTTTGGGCCCAAAGCCCATTGGTTTCTCACATGATGAATTACCGACCAAGACTTGCTATTACGTGCCCTAGGCATATTCAAATACATATATGCGTGAGTTTTAGAAGGCAACCGCATAAGTGAGATTTGATCTCTTTTGTTATTCATACACAGTTTTCTCTCTTTTATTTTGGTATAAGAATATTTAGTCGTTGTTTATTTCTTTGACAGTTAGGGTTCATATTTTGAAGTGTATTTGAGATTTAGATGGTGAAAGATATTTGATAGGCTTTTATAATCTCTTTTAATTATAGTGAAATTTTTTCACCGTTTCTATTTGTGCACGTAATTTAAAAGTTAAATCACATTAAATTCTCGTCTCTTTAATTTTTCAATTATTCATATTTTGATTTAAATTCATTTAATTTAACGTTTAGCACAATATATATAATATAGATATGTATATAGATTACCAGGTCAGAAACGTATTGGAAACTCCTGGTTTGCTTCCCATCGCCATAAACAGTCAAGGGCTCTTTCCTTAATGCCTGTAGATGTAGTCTTAGATATAATTATATTGTCAAAAGGAAAACTAGAAGCCAGAAGAAAATAACATTCATTGAATGAGATAGAAAGGGGTGTAATTAATTAATTAATAATTAACCTGAGCCACGAAATTGCTGACAACACGACCGTCGTCGATGCACATACGGGGTCCATAAGTGTTGAAAATTCTAGCAATCCTCACCTGCAATTATTTTTAATTTATATATATATATGTGTGTTTTATACACAAAACTTTACACGTTTCTCAATATTTTTCCTCATATAATAATGTGTATTAATTATAGTAAGCTTTTACAGGCTGAGTTTAAAAGGTGGAATAAAGAGAATTTTGGTGATGTTAGCAAAATGGTCGAGGCTGTTGGGGGAAAAGTTGGGAAAAAAAAGTTTGGTTGGAGGATTTAAACTATGTGATTCGAATAATTTTTAATTTATGTGAGAGAAAAAATATTGTAGCGAATCACGAATCATGATTCGAATCAGGAAATGAATCCCTCCACCAAACATCATAAGTAAAAATATCTCTAAAAGGTTTTTCAGAGTTGCTCCATTGAATGTGGATCTTAGTCTTGAGGAAAAGTTAGCAAAAGATAGATATCCGGCTGCGAGAGGGAGATAGAAATACGAAGTTCTTTCATACGATAACTAAAATAAAAAGGGCTAAAGCTTTTATTGCTCATATATTGATTGATGGCGAGATAGTTTCCGATTCAGAGAGGGTGAAAACTCATATTGTCGAATACTACAGACAATTTTTTTCAAATTCTAGTGATACAAGGAATCTAGATTTGGTTTTTTTTTTTTTTTTATCAACTTTTATCCTTCCTAATCTCAACTCGGTTTTTTTGGCTTTACTACCTAAATCGGCTGAGAATTTTAATTGTATGGATAAAAAGGTTTTTGGTGGTTAAATGGTAATGTTGCTCTTAAAGTTGATATCAAGAAGGCTTTTTGACACTTTGAGATGGGATTTTCTTTTGGAGGTCCTGAAAGTTTTTGGGTTTTCTCTAGAGTTTGTTGGTTGGATTGAGAACATTTTGAACTCTTGTAGGATGTCTATTTTATTTAATGGCAGTCCAACTGGGTTTTTTTAGTTGTGGCCGTGGGGTGAGGCAGGGAGATCCTTTGTCTCCCCTTCTCTTTTTTGCATCGCTGAAAACGTTCACTTCGCTGATTCGAGTTTAAAATTTAAGTTTTCTTACAGTAAAAAGTTCTCACAAACAATCACATTTAACTTTTTTGCTATAGTAAAAAGCTTTCACATAAAGTCACATCTCAACTCGAATTCTAAACTCGAATCAGCGAAATGAACATGGTCTAAGTTTGAGCATGTCCTCTCTTGTACAGAGTGGCATTATTTCTCCAATTTTATCTCCTCGCAGTGGTTTTGCTCCTTATCATATTTTTTTATGCAGATGACTTTTTTATTTTTTGTAATGGTAATAGAAGATTTTTAAAGGCTATTTTGGTTTTTTTTTTTTTTGGAATTTTTTTGGTCAACTAATTAGCAAGGACAAGTCTTTGGTGTTTTTTGGTAAAGGTTTGGAGGCTCGAGCTGATTCCATTGCTGCTTTTCTTGGTATGAGTCGTGGCCAGCTACCTTTTTCCTATCTTGGAGTGCCTATTTTTCGAGGTATGCCAAGGAATTCTCATTTGAGACCTATCGTTGATAAGGTGGTAGCTAAGCTTTCTTCTTGGAAAGGAAAACTTCTTTCTTTTGCCGGCAGAATTGAGCTTGTGAGGAGTTCAATTTCTAGTATTCTTGTTCATTCCTTTTCGATTTATAAATGGCCGTCTTCTCTTATAGCTATGTTGGAAAGGAGTGAGAGGAATTTTATATGGACCGGTGATGTGAATAAAAGAAAACTTGTTTCTGTGGCTTGGAAAAATATTTGTTTACTTATGAGGAGGGTGGTTTCGGGGTTAGGAATTTGAGGATATATAGGGCGTGTTTGGAACTCGTTCCAAAATGATTTTATTTTTTGTATGAAAATGAAAATGAAAACGTTTTCAATCTCATATAGAAATTATTTTTGAAAATACGTTTGGTAATTTTATCAATAGATTATTTTCAGTGTAACAAAAACCCATTAATGTATCTCTTTCTCTCTCTGCTCAAGAGAGGAGAAAGCGAAAATAAAAAATAAAAAACGACTAAAAGTCGTTTTTCATTTCTCTCTTATTTTACATTAAACCAAAAAATTGTTTTCATTTCCATTTTTTATCTTTATTGCGCCAAACATCGTTTTGAAAACGTTTTCATTTTTTCTTCCTCAAAAAACGTGAAAAAACAAAAACGAGATCAATTCCAAACATGGCCATAATTTGTCCCTTTCTTAAAAAGCTTGTTTGGAATTTGATTCATGAAGAGGGGGATGGTTATGCTTTTCTCAGAAGTAGACATTTTCGGAACTGATTGGAGCCAAAATTGTCCTATTGTACGTCTTCTAGTTGGCCAGGTTTAAAGAGTTTGGTTGGTTCTCTTATTCTTGATTCTCTTGTGGTTCATTGGTAGCAGATCTACGCTTTCTTTTTGGTTTGATAATTGGTGTGGTGTTGTGTTAGCTGAAGCTATTGGAATTCCGGCACATCTGATATATTCTTTTAAGGCTTTGGTTAGTGATTTTGTAGTGGATGGTAAATGGAATGTACCAGATTTCTTTAAGGTTGCTTATCCATGATTGTTGGAGTTTGATTGATAAATGATAAGGTTGTTATTCCCTTAGATTTAGACGATAATCTGATTTGGTGTCTTTCTAGGTCCGGGGGTTGTTCTGCTAAGGATATATATGAAGTTTCTCGTGCTAGAGGCACTCCTACTAGTTGGGGTTGCAAAATCTGGGCACCATTTATTCCTCCTCGTTTCTCTTTTCTTGTTTGGAGAATGTTATATGAAAAGTTTCTCGTGGATGTTACTCAGGACTTTTGGTATTCAACTTGTTTCCTCTTGTAGTTTGTGTGGGAGGGCTGAGAAATCTATTATTCATCTTTTCTTGGAATGTCCTTACTCGTTTGATCTTTGGAATTGGATTATGCTGATCTTTCACTGTAAAGTTTCTTATAACGGTAGCATTGGTGATTTTTGGCATTATGTATTAAGAGTTAATTTTAGTCCTTTAGTCAAGAAATTTTGGCTTCTTACTTTTATGGCTGGTTGTTCGTTTTTTGGGATCTAAGGAATAGGGTGCGTTTTGAAGGGGCTAGTGGGAGTCCAAGTGCTGCTTCTACGTTTATTCTTAGCCATATCAGGTCGTCCAAGATTTTCAAGCTGGGTTATTCTTATAATTTCGCTTCTGAAATTCGTATTCTTAACAAGTTATATGTTTGTTAAAATTTTCCTAAAAGTCCAAAGATTCTCTCTTTTTATTGGATTCCTCCTCCTTTTGGGTGGGTGAAGGTCAACACTGATGGTTCAGCTAAGGAGTCCTTGGTCCGATTGCTTATGGAGGTATTTTCAGGAATGCTAGGGGGTTTGCTTGCGGTTGTTTTAGTGTCTTCCTTGGGAATGGTTTTGCCTTTGAAGTTGAATTGTGGACCGTGATCAATGCAATTTCTATTGCCTTTGAGAATGGTTGGCATAAATTGTGACTTGAGAGTGATTCCTCTGATCATTTATTTTTTGAGTTCTAAGTCTTTACAGATTCTCTAGAGTTCTAAGTCTTTGTAGATTCCCTGAAGGTTGCATAATGAGTGGAACATGGCTCTTTTTTTGTCCATGAGAATGGATTTTCGTTTTTATCATGTGTATCGTGAAACTAATGGGTGCACCGATAAGCTTGTTAATCTTGAAATTATTAATTGTAATAAGATGTGGTGGTCTCATTGTCCTAATTCTTTAGAGTACTGTGTATAGAGATTACATAAGTTTATCATTTTACAGATTTACTTGATTTTGAAATGGTTGTAGCTTTGTTTTATAGTAAGACAACAAAATATATATTTTTCTTAAAAAAAAAAATTTGTAACCTCAATGCCAAGGCCTCTGTGATAGTCCATGCTCAAGGTCTCAGCCGTGCGTTTTCCCTCATCGTAACAGCTCCTGACACCTAAAGCCAAAAAAAAAAAAAAAAATGACAATAAAGAAACCAACCATTAAAAATTTACGTGCTTATCCAAAATATATATGTATATATTTCTATATATTTATATTTAGTTTCACGTGAGATGCACTGTTATAAAATATCATCTAGATTCACATGGTACTCACAACTTATACACGTGTGAATTCTCTTATAGGGTCGTTTTAACGTTATGCTCAAAGCAACCTAAGAAGGCTAACATGAAAGTAAAAAGTGGTTACTTTTTGTTTGGTAGAAGAAGAAAAAAGTATTTTTTTTTTAATAAAAAAAAAGTGCACTTTATGTCTCCTAATATATTAAAAGGACTAAAACTAATTTCTCCCCATCATCCACTTATCCGTTCACTTTGTTGATTCGAGTTGAGATATGATTTTATGTGAGAACTTTTTACTGTAGCAAAAAAGTTAAATGTAACTGTTTTTTAGAATTTTTTATCAAATTCTAAACTCGAATCGGTGAAGTGAACGGGGCTTAAATTTTACTTTCTCTATTTATGGTCCACTTAATTTTCTCAAAAGGGCTAGATAACTTTCTGCATAAATAGAAACTCGAGCTCTGAATAGATAGACAAAGAAGCCTTAATAAAGACATTGTTGTATATAGAAAAGAAAGACGTATATGATGATGAGTAGTAAGTTAAGTACCAATGGGGTTAACATTGCCCCAGTAGGACTCGGATTGTGGGTGCTGCAAAGGGTCGCCGTACACCTCACTTGTGCTGGTCAGCAAGAACCTGGCTCCAACCCTCTTTGCCAATCCCAGCATGTTCAGTGTCCCCACCACATTCGTCTTGTATCAACGCACCCTAATTTGGTCAAGGTCCCACCAAACCAATATATATATATATATATCTACTTCACACGTATTAGATTTAAAGTACACAAGATACATACGTATATTTGCCTTTTGTACAACACTTACATACATAAATACATAGTACATACATACATAAAGTGTTTTTTATTTTAAAAAAAAGGAAACAGAAAATCATTTTGACATTATCCCTTCAACAATTGCATGCATGAAAAGGCATATATATATAGGACACGCATCATGATGAATATTCTATCATGGTGATCAAACAATTCATAAGATTCACAGAACTATCTAACAAAAATTGACACATCATACAAACAATTTTCAAAAAAATAAAATAAAAAAGAAACAAAACTCTAATTTTGTAATGTATTATCCTGTAACATATATCATTGCTCTATCAATCTAAATATATAGTAGCAAATTTATTTCAAAATAAAAATCTAACAAAATTTTTAACTTTCAAAAAGATTTTCTCTTGAAACAGACAAACAACAACAAAAGGTAAATAAATCAAATTAAAAAAAAAAACAACAAAAGAAATTAATTTAGAAAAGAAGAAAAGGATATGATGGTTTTGACGGGATTGAACTTGTAATGCACAGGGGAGGCAGGGCAAGCCAAGTGGTAGATCTGGTCAACCTCCAGCAGTATCGGCTCAACGACGTCGTGTCGTATCAGCTCAAACCTCGGATTTCCAAAGTGGTGCACCAGATTATCCTTCCTTCCCGTGAAGAAATTATCAACGACGATCACGCTGTGTCCTCTCGCGATCAGACGGTCCACGAGATGGCTCCCCACGAACCCGGCCCCACCGGTGACCACGATCCTCAGCGTCTTGCTCCTCACCCCCAACGGCACTTTCCCGCCCGCCCTCATTAACGGCCCAACATCATCGCCGTGGGCCTCGTAGAGGACCCTCCTCGTCGGGAGGTTGGGCTCGGGTTGGGCCTGATGGGCCGAGGACGGACGGCGGTGGAAGGTGAAGGTGTAGCTGTAGGTGGCGGTGGCGATCGCCACGCCAATAACGATGAATAACAGGCGGTGAATAATAAGGCTGAAGTTATTGTTATTCATTTTTTTTTTTTTTTAGGGGCGGGTGGGGGCTTTGAATTTGATTATCAGTTTTGTCGCTGATTTTAAAAAAGGATTGAGGTTTGGAAAACTTCTAACTGAAAAAGAAGAGGAAACTTTGGGAAGAGAGAAAGCAAAGGACAAAGATGTTATTTTTGTGTGGGATTAGAGGAAGGGGTGAGGAGTTTCGTGCATGAAATATGGCCATATAATCGCTCCAAGGGCGCGTGGCTTTTGCATGTTTTTTCGTATATATATATATATATATATATATATATATATTTTTTGTAACTTATATACGAATACAAATACAAACTTTGATTCTTCAATATATATATATACACACACACACGCACACACAAACTATGAACTTCTTTTAAACTTGCCACTTGCTTTATGTATTTGGCAACAACAGACGTTGAAACGTATAGATATGAATTATAATAATAAAGGTTTCGTTCATTTTACCGTTTTGAGTTTAGAATTCGAGTTTTCTTACAGTAAAAAACTCTCATAAACAATTACATTTAACTTTTTTATTACAGTAAAAAATTTTCACATAAAATCATATTTTAACTTGAATTAAAAATTCAAATCAATAAATTAAACGAGCTCTCACAAGACTATGCATAGTATAATATAGCTTAGACTGGACACATAACCTTGCATCTGTTGACTATTATACCCTTGGGAGTTTGAAGAAAGATTAGTGGGGAGATTAGGGGAAGTAATGATTCTGTGGAGGGTGGATACTGAAATTCATATTATAACGTGCTATTGGTACATATTATATTCTGGAACCATCCAAAAGAAGGGAAGAAAAAATTGTATTCTAAAATACTTGCAGAGTTGAAAAGAACTTTGATGCACCACCTAGACAAATACGATCTGCGGCAACTAGAAACACGGGAAGGTCATATCTTGGCTAATCTAATTTAATTGAGGAGACGTTTAGTTCATGGATTAGAATTATTTTCGATTTACGTATATTTTTTATGAGAGAAAATATTGTAGCGAATCATGAACCACGATTCAAATCATGGTATGAATCCCCTTACCAAATTTCTCCTCAATGATTGATGACTAATTGAAATTGAATGGTTTTTTAATAGTACACTGGCAAGTTGACACGTCATAATTAGATTTATATTATGAACATGGTTACGAAGGTAGCACCATTATTAATAAAAAGTAAGCTTTATTTATAGGTCTTATGGGACCTATTTTTTATTAATAAGTAGTGTTAAGCACAGTTGTTGCTCTACAACATTGCTCTATATCATGCAATTATCTCAAAGGTGAATTTATGTATTGTTCAAACTTCAAAGCAATAGAGGCCTATTTTGGATGAGCCACTTTTTAGTTTTGAAGAAAATATCAACAAGGAGCAAAAGGGAGAAATACCCATTGATTTAGCAGCGAAAAGAATGTGATGCTATACTGTGTTAATCGGAGGAGAATAAGAAAAGGTTAAGGCCATGTTTGGTTCGACAATTCGAATTGTGGTGATTCGAACTGAAAATCTAAACTGAAGTGATCTAAACTAATATTTGTATATATAAATAAATTGTAATTTGAATTAAAAATAAAATCCAAATTATATTTAGATAGCGTTCAAAACAGGTATTAGAGTTTTGCAACAAATATTATAAAATTTCATTGTAAATAACATTTTTAAATATGTAATATGTATGAAGATTTGTTCTTTTCTCCATATCAACACGGAAAAAAGAATCATTTCAATTGGTGTTGAAATGAATTTCAACATTTCTTTATGTACGATAGGCTTAGTTCGTTTCGTTCGTTCGAGTTAAGACTTTGAATTAAAAAGTGATTTTATGTGAGAGAAAACACTGTAGTTGAAAAAGTTAAAATTTTTTTATAAGAGAAAACACTATAATAAAAATTTGAGTTGTGATTCAAACTAAAGAAAAGAACAGAGCCTTCAAATTGAATTATTTAATTTAAATTATTGAACCAAACATGGCTAAAACATCAAATCATCGGGTTTGGTATTGGCATTAACGATGCAAGAGATGTTGGGCTTGTTCATTTGCATTTTTTGAGTTAAAGTGACTTGAGTTCATATCTTAATTTGAGTTAAAGTGTATTTGAGTATGGTTCGAGTTGAGACTCTAATTTGAGTTTGTGTTTAGATGTGCACATTTAGAGTTATGATTTGAATTGAGAATCTATTTAAGTTTATTTTTGAGTAAGTCCAAACTTGAATTTGTATTTAGATAGTATTTTAATAAAAACTTAATGGTGATGGAAAATTTTAATAAGGTATATATATGAAATTTTATTCGTCTCTTCGTTGTGAATGCATAGAAAAAAATCATCTCAATCAGAATTAAAACGAAAAAATTATGACGTTTTTAAGAATAGAAAAATATTATTCATTAACTGGAGTTTGAGTTTAAGAACTTGAGTTAAAGAGAAAGCTTAAACTCAAATTTTAACCCCGAACTCAAGTTCAAACTCAAATTTTACAAAAAAAATATAAACTTAAATAAAATTATAACTTGAGTTCAAATTTTTTTTGAGTTTAGATGTCTGTTGAATCCCAGAATTCATCTCATGAAGACACTAATAAAATAGTCCATTTGTTGGCAGCAAACTAAATAATAAATATTATGGCATTTGGCAAACAGAGCACGTCGATGGCTGGATATGTGGACTACTTGTTGGACCACCGTCTCCTAAGGCCATGTGAAGGCATGTTTATATGTTGCTGAAGAACCTTTTGACTCGACCGTTAATATAAAATTGCAAGCAAAAGATTAAAAGTAACTGACCGGTTTTGTAGTTTAGTGTTCACAAGCATCGGCAATTTGGGAACAGAACTGCCTTTCGCAATTGTCAAAGATACGTCCTTTAGCTTTTATCAAAGACACTTTAATCTTTTCTCTAATCAAAGAAAAAAATTAAAGATTAAAAATAACAACAACAACAAAAAAGAAAGTTGACTTCTACAGGGTACATCTTCAAAATATACTCTAAACAAAATGCACAAAACTGCCTCGCTCTGCCAAATACCAAGAAGGAAAAAAAAAAAAAAGTATATTGTTACATTACCAAATGAGAACAGGAACTAAGGATTAACTCTAATAACGACGGATATCTTTAGGAGGCCTAAAGTTGAGGGGATGAGTTTCTTCAGTGGCAGTTTCGTCTTCTTTCCACATTTTGATCGTCTTGTCGGCTTCACAAGTAACAAGTCTAGAACCAGTGATGTCGTAGGAAGCAGCGTATATACCAGCTTCACTATCCAGTGAGCCTATAATAACAAAATTTCCAGGGTCAGGCTTTACCCTGCACTTGAACCCCGATTAAGAAAAAGAAATGAACAAAATTTTAACTTCAAGAAAATCAGGTTAAACATTACCAGGCTGTACAATTGTTTGGGCTTGCTGGAAATTATGACCACTCTTCCAATCCCAGAACCACAGACTCCCATTGTCACCTTTAATAAGATAAGAGGCAGAAAATTAAATATTGCCTTTTGCTATATCGCAGATTCTTCTGTTTAGTACCAAAATGTAAAGTTACAATCAATCCTTACCTCCTGTGACCAGGACGCCTTCCTCGTTGACGGCCATTGCATTGATTATAGTTCTTTGTTGGGAGCTGTAAGAAATTACCAACAGTATTGCAGGGTTACATTTATTATTTATTAGCAAAAGTTTACCAAAAAAACAAATAAATAATTACACTTTTTTTTTTTTTGGAACAAGGTATATAATCATCCAATACGTAATAAAGGGTAAAAGGAACACTGCATCTAAGTTTCAGAAACCACTTTTCATTAAAAAGAAACAAAAAAAGTTTCAGAAACCACATCTGAATGAATAAATAATGGCTTTTGGGTTACTCACAGCATGTTGTGTAGAAATTCCCCTTTTGGAAGATTAAATTTCTTAATGTTGTCAGCTGACGCAGAAGCAAAGCAATTCCTGGAAGAATTAACATCCAAAATAAATACATAAAATAAGGAAAACTAACAACAAAAGTTTAAAACAAGGATAATGTAATCTACACCAGCTCACTCTTCACTCCACAATATATAAGACGTAATAGATGACATCTTCAGGCACCTACTCTTTAGGATGCATTGCCATTGCTCGCACTGACTTCTTGTGGTGTGTGAGAGTCGTCATAGTTTTTCCTGAAAGCCAGAAAATAGTGATGTTAAAAAGAGAGATACAACAGTTGAAAATGGGAATAAGTTGGCGTAAAAACGCGAATTACCATATCTAAGGTCCCAGAATTTAATGGTTGAGTCATGAGATCCCGTTACAACTTGAGGATCCTGGAGAATGAGAAACAACGTCAGCTTACCCATCATTAATACCATAGAAAATTAATAAAAACCAAAACATAAAGAGAAACGGCTTCATCATTATGGTTGCATCTTCAATTGAATACAGATTGCCTTAATATTCTTGAGATGATATCAGCAATGGGTCATTAGTAGAATCAATTGCCAAAGAAAACAAAATAAAAAGAGGAGCAGATCTGCGTACAGTTGGCCGAGTAAAAACTGAGCAAACTGAGTTCTCGTGCCCAGACAGTGCAAAAATTTGCGTCTTGGTACGAATATCCCAGACCTGAAAATAGAGAATGGATCAAATCATAGGAAATCTAATGGACAATTCAGCAACAAAAGAAACAAAAATTATAACTCCGTTTATGCTCATAAATCGCTTACCCGGCAGACAGAATCACGTCCCCCAGTAAGCAGAACGTCGAGGGTAGGATGAAGAGCCAAGCAGTAAACACCACTCAAATGTCCATGATAAGAACGAATAGCCTAAAAAGCAATTTTTTTAAATTTGCGGTATGGACAAAAATTACTAGTAAAATGCAAAAAGCTTTCCAGGAGCTCGTTCTCACCTTGTTCTGTTCAAGGTCCCAGCATTTAACTTGTTTGTCATCACCAGCAGAAAACATATATGTATGTCTGTTGCTGACAGCAAGGCCTATAAATAAGAAAGAATTGTAAATGATTAACTACCGATTCAAATGTTTCCTGCTGTTCTAACAAAACAATACTGATTCAATTGCACACAACATAGTTATTAATATCAGTTCATGCCACCAATGATAATTCATAAAGAACTAACCTCTTATTTGTTCAATGTGTCCTGTAAGTGTAAGCTTTAGCCTTCCACTTCCTACATCCCATATCTGATCAACCAAAATTCAAAGAACGACTCAAACGCTCAGAATACAACAAAAGAAAATAGAACCCAAACTGTATAAGGTTGTGAACACGCACGCGCGCGTGTGTGTGTTTTGTGTGAGAGAGAGAGAGCAAGCGTGTTAAGGGGAATACAGAAAGAAAAAGAGATCATAACGAAATTGACTTTATCTCTCATTTCATGATATTCACATTGAAATTTCAGAAAAATATTCTCTAAAAATAAGTAATCCATGAAATTGCAGGATACTGTTGACAAGGGATTTAATTGGTTATTTAAGATTTTACAAATTATGTAAATTCTCAGCTAAATTTTGCCCAACTTTTTTAACCATCTCTTCCAACATGTAATGGCTTGATTATTCTATACGGACCACAATGTAAAACATATAAAAGCCCAGGAAGAGGCAGTTGGGTAGTGAATCTAAACAATACAGTGACAGTAAAAAATATTAAGACAAAATATAGTGAACCACGATACCTTTATTGTCCGGTCAGCAGAGCCAGTACAAAACCATGTATTACTGGGGTCAAACGCGACAGATCTCACCCATCCCAAGTGGCCACTAATCACCTGCACAATTAAGTTGACAATGTCATAAAGAAGTAGAAAAATATAAGGAATGAAGCTGGCATCAAAAGACATGCAGTAACAATTAACCCTAATAAGGTTTCATCAAGGAACATATAAATTATCTGCACAATTTACCAAAAGAACTAAGAAGTTTAAAGTAAAAGATACCAATAACTGTAAAGCATAAGACATGTATCTAATCTGGCCATGATGGTAAACAGTTACACAGTATTGTCCTTGACGCACACTTGAGAACAAATCACTATAATTCTCACCCTATAGTTCTTCCATGGAGGACGCCATACAGGGCGAGGCCATTTGCTTGGGATTCTCTCCATTATAGCAGAAGTCGATAACCTTTCCGATCCTCTGGCAGATATGATATCAGTGCTCTTCCCTGAAACTCCTACGTCATTCCTGGCCAAAAGACGAGCATAAACATCATCAATTCTCCTACATCCGGAAAAAATAAATAAATAAAAAATCTCTGTATAATACATAACAATGCTCAAGGCATCAAACTAAGAAGCATGAATTATCAGCGCCATAAGCTTGATAGCAAATGACGTATTCACCAAAGGCCTTTGAAGTCAAGCCGTCTGCAACATCTCCATCGTTTTCAAAAGTAGAACGTCATGAATGCAAATTAGGCTGAAGGGACTTATAAAGGTTAATTTTTGCGCCCATAAACAACTACTACAACTATTTCATTATGAAACATAAATATAAACAACATAAAAATAAACGAGAAAGTATTTACGGTGGTTTTGGCACAGATGGACCAACAACCAAAGCATTTTGAGCTCCGCCTGTTTGCGCATCCCTAGAACCCTCGGAACCTGCAAAATCCCAAAAATCATCCAATTATTCAATTAAAGTCCACAAAGAACAAATCCTCCATTATTCAATTGTTTCTCAGGGTAAACTAATACAATCGCGGCCATTTATGGCGGAAACGACATAAAAAGTACCTGGAAGGGCAAGCGCATTGGAAGGAACCAAAGGCTGAGGAGCCGAATTAGCTTGGCGATGAGGTTGACTAGTAGTTTTGATTCCTCCATACTCTACATTTACCTGAAATAAGGTTCAAAATTTAAATTCTCATCAGCGAAATCACCACCGCCATATCCGCCTAAAAACCTAACAATCGTAAAATACCAAAGTATTCAGTCGACTAACCTTGTGACTGATGCGAAGCTTCTTACTGTAAACAAAAACCGAAAAAAGTACAAATTTATATCAAATCAAATAAAATAAAAAACTATGAGACTTGAAAACTTAGAAAACGTCGATGGAAAAAGAAAAAGGAATCTAGAGAGAGAAAGTGAAACCTTTCAGGATCGGGAGGAGCGAGGCGGCCATGGGCGGGGCAGAAAAGGTCGAGAGTTCGCTTGAGCGACTTGAAGCTGAGTTTCTTGAGGGACTGTGGCTCCACTGGCTCCATCTCCAGGGTGGGCCCCGGCATCTCCTTCTTCTTGGAACTTCTTCTTCTTCTTCTTCTTCGAAGTTACAGAATTACAGTCTGAGAAATCCCCAATGTTAGGGTTTTAGGGCAAATCAGTCGCTTTTCTTTCTCCCTCCAAGCCAAGAGAGACGATCGAGAGAAGCCGAAATCGGCCTCGGATCCTCTGTCCCCGTTTTACGAGTTTCGGTTTACTCGGTCGAGCTTTTTGGGCCCTATCTGTGGCCCAAAGTATGTAGACTGGGCTTTCAGCCGAGATAAATTGTTTCACGAGTTTTGGGATTGTTATCGTTTTCTTGGTATTGCTGGTGTTCTCTTGAATTATGTCGTTGTTTATTATGTTGTCGTTTTATACCGAAGTCTTCGTTCTTGTTAGTATCTTAAAAAAAAAAAAAAAATGACGCGTCTTTCTTTGAAATTATGTTTTTTATTCTTGGTTTTTTCTTTCTCTGAATTCTATTATACCATAATTGAATTATATACTGATGTCGTTTTCATTGGTGAGTCGTTTTTTATTTTTTGATTTATTTGTTGTCGTTTCCTGAAGATGTTAGCTCTTAGTTTTTGTCGTTTTGAAGTTTTTTTTTCCTGCTATTAAATTATTGTTGTTTTCTTTTGACGTTGTTTGAATAGTTGTAGTTGCATTGTTGTTTTTGCAAAGCAAGCAGTTTGGGAATTTCCATCGACCAGAACAGTGCTCGCGGATTTCCATAATTCCATCTATTCCCATCATCTTGGCCAAGCAGAAACAGTGGTGATCTATTCACGATCTTGACCCTTTCATCGTCGGTAAATTATATCAGACTTGGCTGAGGTGGTGTGTGTATATATATATATATATATGTACACATAATATATATGATTAGTTTATTAGTTTTTGGTTCATATGTTAAATGATTTAAATATTAATTAGTTCAAACTAGTGGTTGGTTTGAAAAGATAGAAATTGGTTTAAATTTACGATGTGATATTTAAACTATCAAAAAAATACTGTAATAAAAAAAGAATAAATTTCTAAACTCAACTCCCCTTAAATTTTATATTCAAAGCTTAAACTATGTTATTTTTTAAAATAACATAGTTTAATAAACAAAAAAGTTTAAACTAATTTAAACTCGTGAACCAAACGAAACTACGACATGACAAAAGCTTTAAACGGTTACTTATTAACGATGTTGTAAACTTTTTACATAAATGGCAAGTTATTTGGATTACCATACAATTATGAAATGCAAGCCTATAAGCATAACTTCCCTATGCATATATAATACGTACAGCTAATCCACAAAATAAAAAAAATCAAAAAAATCAAAATTTATCTTGTTGTTTTTTATCACAAGAAAATGGTTTTTATTTTTATTTTTAAAAAAAAGAAAAAAAAAATATAGAGGAAGAGCTTCTGATTCCTTGCAAAGAAACTTCCTGGCTCTGCTGGTCCGGCGAAGCAGACAGTCTCCCACACGCAAACCTAAAAGTCAAAAATCTTCCTTCATTTGCCATGTTGAATAATATTATAGCCACCCAATAAATTGATGCACCGAAAGAATAGCCAATTCTTGCCTTCGGCTCCTTTTTCACTTTTAGGTATGGGAGAATTCTATTGTAGACAGGGTAGAAAGAATTTACATTATCAGAAAATCCGAATAGTATAATTTTGAATCATCAAACTTTATAGAATTCTTTTAAATTATGATGTTATTTTAATTTTATATAATTTTGATGTAATTTTAGGGTCAAAAACAAATTTTATCACATCGGCCTCGTTTGTATTTTTAGTTCGAATCACAACTCAAATTTTTACTACTGTATTTTCTCTCATAAAAATTCACATTTAACTTTTTAGACTATAATATTTTTCTCACATAAATTCACTTTTCAATTCGAATTGAAAGCTCAACTAGCAAAACAAATCAAATTTTATTTATATTTACTAATATTTCTCCTCCAAAGGTAATTAAAGAGGTTTTGTTTTTGGGAAGGTGGAAAAAAATTATTAAATTCCACTAAACTATGATAGGAGTAGGGGTTTAATAAAGTGGTCCAAAAAAGTTTTTAAAGCTTAATTGATGAAGTTTTTAAAACCTGCTCCCTCTAAATCCTAGTCTTATATGCCTTGTTTTTTCAACAACTCAAACGGTTGGTTATGATTTAAACTTTTATTCAGGATTTAAATTGGTGTTTAGGATAGGAAAATTAAAGGATAATTCAAACCATTAACAATGGTTCAGACCTTTATTTTTTAGAATTCACATCCCTCCTTAAATTTTAACGATCCGAATTGTTGTTAACAGTTCACCGATTCTAAATTCTACTTTTTCTCTCTCTTCAATTTCAATTTTAAAAATGTTATAATTTTTTCGTTTTAATTCCAATTGAGATAATTTTTTTAATGTGTTCATAATGAAAAAATGAACAAATTTCTACCCATATTGCATATTTTTTAATGTTATTTACAATGAGGTTTTATAATATTTATTACAAAACTCTAATGACAGTTTTTAACACTTTATTCAAACATAGTTTGAATTTTATTTCCAATTCAAATTACAATATATTTACATATTCAAATACCGATTCGAATCACAATTAAAATCACTACAATTCAAATTCTACAGTTCTAACAAAAACAAAAAAAGTCTAAGGCCCCGTTCATTTCACTGATTCGAGTTTTGCTACAGTAAAAAGCTCTCAGAAACAGTCACATCTAACTTTTTTACTACAGTAAAAAGTTCTCACATAAAATCACATCTCAACTCGAATTAAAAACTCAAATCAACGAACTAAACGGACCCTAAATCTCTACGATTTAAGTTATTGAACCAAATAAGCCCATAATATCAAATACTGTCCTAATCCAAATTGGCCCACCTATTTCGAGGATATTAATAGAATTGGAAAGTCCAATTTATAGTTGAGTTAGATCGGCCACTAAGCACTATTTTTAAATACAAAATCCAGCTTTTTTGGCCATCTACTTCGCTACGCACGTACTTTAAAAGATAAAATCATCAACTACTCTAATATTTCTATTAATAGTGAATATCAATTCAATCATAAACTATTCCATTACGGTTTACTATTACTATTAGTGAATTAAACTTCCATTTATTTCTTCTCAAAGAGTTACATAATTAGTTAGTACTATAGCAAATATTTGTAAATGAAGGACTAGATATTCGAATATAATTATAAAAAAACTACTCCAAAAACATATTACTTTTTTTTTTTTTTTCTACAAAACGAATCTTGCACAACTTTAACATATATAAATGATAGATCGAGCCTTTTATATATCTCTCGGTCCAGTCTCTTATTGTAGGTAATCTAATTAATTAAGCACAGCTATTATATAGATTGAATGATATTTTCTTTAATATCATATCTCGCAAGGATCCAAAACATAATTATTTGTTGTAAAAAAAACAAAAGAAACACAATTAATTGCACGGAGAAACAGAGAAATGCCATTTCAACACTTGAGTCACAAAATGCTAAAAAAAAATACGTCTGTGTTCTCACTATATTAAAGCATATATACAAGGAACTGCATGAGATTTATTAACCTTTGTTCGTACTTCATAGTTCGCATTCCCATGCAACAGTTTACGCGTTTATTGCTGGCCCCCATATATTATATGTAGATCCCACATAATTTTACAATATTCTTACGTGACGTTTAAGTTATGAATTAGAATTATGAGATTATAATTATTTTTAATTTATGTATATTTTTTATAAAAAAAAATACTATAATAAATCATGAATCATAATTCGAATCGGGTATGAAACTCTAAATCAAACAAGATGCTAGTGAATATCTATTAATGATCAAGAAGAGAATCAACTTTTGTGACCTTCAAGGGTTAAAGGTAGGATTAAAAAAAAAAATCATTCTTTACAATATTTAACGATGACGTTTTATATACTATCCTAAGGTAATTGAAATTCATTTTTATTGAAAACCTGTTCATATATCCCAATATCTGACAACACCATTATCTTTCTATCAAAAGCAATACCCAGTGTCAATATTTTTTTCTTAATTAACTGAAAACAAATCCAAATGTAAAACTCTTAAAAAAAATTAATTTGAAGACAATTAAACACTACATAATATTACACGTGAATTTCTAAACTAGAGAGAGAGAGAGAGAGAGAGAGAGAGAGAGAGAGAGAGAGAGCACTACTGTCTACTAGTACTATACGCGCAAAAAAGACTCAGAACTGAGAAGGGAGTCAAAACACGCACACAAACACATTCAAAAACCGAAAACCAAAACTCTCCAGATATGATAGAGCAAGAGCGTCACGGCGGAGCGCCCCACGGAGTCCTGCTGGCGGTGGTTGTGGCGATAGTGGTGCTGGTGCCGTTCCTGCTGGGAGACCGAGGCGAGGCCGTCACGGAGGCGATATCGGAGCTCCTCAGCCCCGTCGGCCTCCTCCTCCTCCCGATCGGCCTCCTGCTTACGATCCAGTTCCTCTCCTCCGAACGCGGATCCTTCGTCGCCGCCATTTTCTCCACCGGCGAGCCCGACTCCATCCACCGCATCTCCGGCTCATCCCTCGGCGTCGCACTCTTCCTCATCCTCCTCCTCTTCCTCCTTTACAACCGCGTCTCCATCTTCGGCGGCGACGACGACTCCGGCGACTGAGTCTAAACGCTGCGTTTTCACCCGATCTATGTTTTTTTTTAATCTCTTTGTTTGTTTGTACTAGTTCCTTTTGGAGTTCTTTTTTTCTTTTCCTTAGCATTGTACGTTGGAAGGATGGAGTGGGGTGGATTTTGTAATTAATGTAGATTACCCAGGTCAAAAATGTCATTTCGGTGGGAATATGTAATGACGCGTCACGCTACTGCGCTGAACTCTGGGTTCTGAACTTCTGAACTCAATGAAATATGTGAGCTTAAATTCCAGAATTGCCCTTGGAGCGTTTTGCTCACTTTTTTCTATTTTTTTGAAAAATAGTGGAAGCGTTGTTGAGGGCCGACGGAGGAGTCCGGTGTCCTTGCATGGTTGGAGCCTGAGGAGCCAGATCTTTTCTTTTTCTTTTTTTCCTGAGGAATTTGGCTCTTTGAACTTTTTTTCTTTTCTTTTTGTCTTTTTCTCATTTTCTTTTTCTTTTTACTTTTTGAGACGTTCCATGGTTCTGGCCTTTCATCATGCTTGCACGTCTTTTCATCACGTTTAGAACTCTTTTACCTTCTTTTAATAATGTAGCATGTAATTTACAGGAAAGGAAGATAATTTATTTATCTTATAAATAATTCTATATTTATATGGTAAAAATTGTATAGGAATTAGCAAACTAAACAGGTTTTCACCTATTTATTGTGTAACGATAACATGTGAATGGTGGTGAACAGTTGCGGGATGCAGATTAAAAAAATGGTGATTTTTTTTTCCCATTAATAATATGTTCAAATCCCAATCTGGGTTTTGTTTATTTAATTGGGTGATTAAAAGGGTTTTTTTTTTTTTTTAAATATTTGGAGTTCAGGAGCTGACATATGCGCAAGTGACTTGACTTTCTTTCTAATCTCTAGAAACAATGCAGATGCCAAATGCAGCGAACCGACAAGAACATGTGAGATGTGTGAATTATTTCCAGGAGTAAAATCTGGGTTATGGATCCGAAGGGAAAATATTTATAGCTAAATTCCTCGCAACAAAAACAGAAGGAAAAGAAAAGAAAAGAGAACAAACCGCAACAGCTAATTTGACTATATACCATTTCTAAGAGGTGGTTATTGATTTCTAACATTTTGTTTAATTTCCTTACTCAAATCCACTTTCAACTTTCAAGTAGTATAAAGTTATATTACCCTTCATTTATATTTAAAATTTCCAACCTTCAGTATCAACTCTAATTAATCAGTAATTAGTTCTAATTGATTAGTGATTAACTATAGCTGGTTGTTTGAGATAAAATTGTCTTTTTATTCATTAAAAGTAGAGCTGTATGTTTGAACTAGTTAAATGGATTGACCCAAGACTTAGGCACATGCCTGGTTTGACCAAAATTTTGAGCTTAGGGGTTCGTTTGTTACGATGATTCAAATCAGAGTGATTTTAATCATAATTCTACAATTAAAACCATAATTCATGATTTTAAGTTCAAATCATGATTCTGAAACTGATTCAAAATTAGAGGTTTGAATCACCTTAAATTAAAAATGAGTGATTTTAGAATCATGAGTGATTCTAGTTTAAAACATAACATTAAATTTTAAATTATGATTTAAAATCATACAAACTAAATATTAATTTTAAATTATAATTTAAAATTATGATTCTAAATTTATCTATCAAACGCTCCTTAAAAAGTTTATTCAGACCGATCCAAACGCTCTCTTTTTAAAGATTTTTTTCAAAAATATCTTATAAAATTCTGAGCCGAGCCGTCCTTTCTCATTTAAGGCTGGGCTGGACGGCCCGAAATTTCTATTCGGGCTCACCTCAATTATACGTTTCAAACTTGTCTACTGAAGTGGTAACTGAATGCACTATTTTGTGGTGTTTTCCTAATTGACCCAAAAGGCAGTGGCTCTTAATTTTGGGCTAGGCCATTCAAAAGTGGGCTTCTTTTTTCAGCCCATTGACGTTAGACGTCAGACGTCTGGGCTCCACTCAGCGAGTACATGCAGCCCAAATGGTAAGCGTACAGAAAAGGTAAGCGCAAGGGCACAGGGGAAACTAGCAAAATCAAAAGGACAATACTCAAGATCATAATCTTTACAGGGAAACCGAATGGAGAAATTCCTGACAAACAAGCACAAGTATACCTTGGCACCATAAACAACTTTCATACAAGCTGCCTACCACATTAAGCAAATACAATAAAAATGAAGAATTGAGGCTGCGTGATCTAATATAAAAATGATAAGAGAGGAGAGAATCTGCATGACACATCAAATTCAGATTGTTCAACTTATGCTATATTCCATTCCGACAATAGCTCCACCAGGTGTTCCCCGAGTACATCTTCACATTTCACCACATTCACAAAGCAAGTGGTAAGGTGAGGAAAACCATCTTTACCAACCCCATCTTGGATCACAATTGAACGGTCTGCATGGAAAAATGTCAGCTTGGAGAAGTGGAAAATCCCGAGTCAAAAAAGTGGAACTCATGCCCGCGATTGCCTTTTCTCGATCAGCTATTACTTTGAGTCCCGGTTCATCATCATGTTGTCATAGAAAGGACACCACATCCTAGCATTACTGCGGTTCCTGTTTTTGTTTGTGATGGGGGAATTGTGTGTTAATCAATTGCTAAAATTTGCACATATTACCATCAAGCTAAAATGAGAGAGACAATCCAGATTAGAATCCTCTTAACAACAGTGAAGAGAAAAATCCGCTTCAAAGAGACAAGCAAAACAACATTTCATCTAAATCAACAAACCAAGAATCAAGATGATGTAAATCTGATGCAAGATTCAAAGATGGATCATGTTTGAGAATAGTAGCCAAGGAAATATTTCATCTAAACCAACAAACCAAGATAATGTAAAATTGGTGCAAGGTTGAACGAAGGATCGTGTTTGAGAATGGTAGCTCAGAACTATTGTCAACAACTAGGAATTCAACGATAATAATGCATTTTATAGCTCTAAATAGAGACGCGTGGAGAATAAAAAACTTTGATGCTTCATAAACATAAATCCTATCTTCAGAGCTGAGAAAACAAAGCTACTACGCATAAGTGAAGAAAGAAACCTTGAAGGAAAACATTGAATCCTTGGCTGGCAACAACCACACAGTTTCAAGTTACTAATTCAATATCGCACAGCAGAAAGCTGATTGCAGTTAAACATTATAGCATAAAAATCCATCAATAAAATTGAAAACGAGCTATTTAAACCATAACAAGTTCTAGAATGTTACCAAAATTTACGACAATAAAGAAATGTTTGTTATGATGATAAAACAAAGCCAGACGTGATTCTCTGTTTAACAGTAAGAACATAATAACTTACCTTCACGCTAATCCAAGATTATGTAGCTTATTGCAATGAGGAGTAGGCATATTCTTATTCCAATGCCTTCTCTGGAGCTCTACCTGACAGTAGCGCAAAAGCATAGTTCTGTAGTCCCTGATCACATTGTCCTCGATATCTGCTCGAGCAGGACTTCCAAGAGGATACTGCTTATCAAACGCTGCCGACTTAACGTAAAATTCGACCCCATATTTCTCAGTTGTCTTGGGAACCTGGTAGGCGTAATTCTTATGCAGTGAATAGTCGGGCTCCGAAAAAGGCATATATGCAAGCAATATTATGATCAAGAACGGTAACAATTGAAGAAGAAGCATGAAATTAAGTCCTGCTCCATTAAACTCCTCCCTCGGCTGACCACCCATTCCTCGGGCTCTATAAACATGACCCGCTCGAAACAAGTCACCCTGGCCAAAAAAGGCCCTGAATATCTCATCAGGATCAAAATCATCATCAAAAAAGTCGTGCCCAGTTCGCCTCCTCCGCCTCCTGACATTGTGCTGCTGGTTGTACTCAAACTCGTCCACCAATCCGGTTTGATCGTACTGTTTCCTAGACTCTACATCACTCAAGCACTTGAAGGCCTTGCTCACCTTCTTAAATGCCTCCTCTGACCCGGGCGCCTTGTTCTTGTCCGGATGAACTTTCAACGACAATTTCCTATAAGCCTTCCGAATTTCCTCAACTGAGCAAGTCCTCTCCAGACCAAGAACCTCATAATAGTCTTTGTTCCTCCTAATCTGCTTAATCAATTGAACACGTTCTTCATTATAACTTCGCTCCCCATTCACTCCCTCGTCATTTTTTGAAGGACCAGGCTCATCCCCAATCTCATTACCACTTTTCCTGGTTGACTGTAAAGGAGACTCAGAATCAAGCTTATCACATTTAGCCAAAAGTTCATCAACAGGCAAATCCCGATTAAGGCGCTGAGCAATTTTGATAAACTTCAAGGCACGTTCTTTGTTACCCGATCCAATTGCTTCTTCAGCAATGCAAACACATCTAAGGGCTTCGTCCTTATTTCCCTCCATTAATGGAAACCTAGCCAACAATTCCTTAATCTCAAACTCGCAAAACAATATCCCAACTTTCCAACAAAAATTTGTAACATTCACAATCCTGAAGATCTCCTTGTCCAGAGCAAATTAGGGTTTGACAAGCAATTCAAGCTTGGTCCTCACCACCCTACATTAATGGAAACCTAACCAAACGATTCCTCAAACCCAAACTCCCAAAACAATTTCGCAATCTTTCCGAAAAGAATTGAAACTTTCGCGATCCTTAATACCCTATTGAGATCTAGTTCAGAGAAAATTAGGGTTTGATATATGAGTCAAAGAAATTGAATTTCGACACACATTAAGCATAAATTCGTGCAAAAATTCCAAATAAAAGAAAAGTAAATTCCGAAATGGGAAAATCGAAATCGATCGCAGAAAACTAATATCAGAGAAATATTGGGCTTACCAGAGAAAAGGATCGGAAAAGCTCAAAACACAGGGTTAGAGCTTGGGAAGGGAAGAATCCGGGCCAAGAGGAAGTGGCCCTGTGTGGGGAATTATACGATGAAACGACAGACCAGCAATATTTGGTTACGTTTTCGAATCAGAGTGTGCCACGATATGGTCGCAGCGTATCTACTGTTATTTCCTTCTGAGTTATGTCGGGCTGCGTTGATAGATGATCACATCATATGGTAAATTGTTTGTTACAAACTTACATGATTCTGACTCTCCAAAGAAAAACGACAACAATGGAAAACTAGATCATTATGAAAACGACAGCAAAGGCAAACACGACTCCAGAAAGTCTATTATAGTAAACGAGATAAAGTCGACAGAACAACTTTGAAGGAAAAAAAGGGGAGAAAACGACATTACTAGGAATATATAAATATCTACGAAGGACCTAAACATGTAACGCAACATTAAACACAACGACAAGAAAAGGAGAAGGACAAGAAAATTGGTCCCTCAACTTTAATTCTCAGCAATTTACTCCGTAAACTATAAACTTCATTATAATGTTAGTCAAACTAAAAATAAAGTTAAAAATTTTGGACAGATTCTTCCACATAAATATCTAATGAGGTTTATTATGTCCTCTTAGCAACAAATTGATCTCTATATGCACATTTTTTAAAATTGGGCAGATCCTAATTTTTCTTTTAAAATAGTTAACTTTTAATTTCAAAATTTTTTTAAATCGTGATGTGTATATGAGGACCAATTCGATGTAAAAAGATCAAAATTAACCTCATTAAATATTCATGTGGAAAATACCTTATAAAATTTAATTGATTGTAAATTTCACTGTTATTACAATAAATTTTAAAATTTAAGGGATAAATTGACATGATTAAAAGTCGAAAGAGTAATTTTCTAAACAATTAAAGTTGAAGAAATATTGGTACAAGAAGAAAAGGAGAAGGACAAAAAAAACTAGATAAAGTCGTAAAATAAATACCAACAATGACATAAACAAAATTAGGGGGTAAAATCAAAGTTCCTTAGATAGTTGTCCTGCGCCTCTAGGTATTCTCTACAATTACCCACCCACCAGTGTCGGTGACTCGGTTTCAGGTAGAAATACCATTTTTGAAGGTCGATTGGGTCTTTCACGAGATTATAGTATGGGTCACTTCTCAGTTCTCACCATGGATGAAAATGTGGGTATCGATAGGGTTGTTGAGGTTTTAATTTGTGAATAATATCGACATATATTCTTTGGATATCTTGAAAAAATTTTAAATTTTTTTTATTAAAACTGTACAAAATATTAAAAAAATCAATATTACCTAATTTAAACTACTTTAATAACAAAAATAATATATTTTTTATTAGAATATGAGAGTTATGTTGAATAGTACAATAGGAAATTATCATAATTATATATGGATTATGATAAATATAATTTTACATACTTATTATAAATAAGGCACAATAATTCAATATACTACGTACATAGAAATTAACTACCAAACATAATAGAGTACATATGGACTTAAAGTGCTTTCAGTACCAAAACGAGTTTCTAGCAGGTTAGAAAGCATTAGGTAGGTTCTAATATTAATCTAAACAATACATTTGCCAAGATATTATCCTTAAATAATTCTAGATGTTGTTGTTGATGTGCCACATGTATATTTCTTGATCTCCCATTATTAACTCATAAATTAGATATTGTTAGTTTCTCGAACTTGATGACTAGTCTTCAGGGATGTGTAATTAGAATTCAACATTGATCGTGGTGGAGGATACACTACTATATCATACAAAAACCATCTTAGTTTTGTACTTTTGAAGTAGATCTCATGTGAGAACTGTATGGATAGCCATATGAACTTTATTCTATTTCTAAGCTCATGGGATCAAAACTTAAGGCTATAGAATCCTCATCAGTTTTGACTCAATTGAGTCACACCACATCTTTTTATAAATGGTTTATTTGAAAAGTAAAATTTTTTTTAAAATAATTTAATCTTAATATTTGCTTAAACAATGAAAAAAATGTGCTACAAAATTGATTTTCATTAAAACAAATTTTCTAAGGTTTTTGGACATTTTGTGGATATTTTCAAAAATATCCTAAATATTTACAGATATTCACGGATTTTTCAGATTTTTTTAGACATTACAGATATTTTGTGTACACGTTAGGAAGAATATCTTTTCCCCTTATATTCACGTCAAGACTTTAAAATATGAATAATATCGTGAAAATGTTGACGATGTCGTGGACATTTTCATCCACGCTTCTCACTTCTTAGTCGACATTAATTGAAAAGAAAATATTGAAAAGAAAAAAAAGATCTCAGAAACAACAATGAAGAGAAAAAGTGAAAAACGAAGCAAACTTGAAAAACTACACTTTAAGGGGGGAAAACATGAAAATACATGTACTGAAAATGCGAGTATGCGACAGCAAATTAATCCGTTAGAAAAACGACTAGAGAATGATATAAACAATTTTGAGGAACAACACAGTTGTGTCATTTAAAGGACAACATGGGAAAATATGACAAGAACCCGAAATACGACAATGACTCGTGAATGAAAATTACCCAGGATACGACATCATGAGTGGAAGGGAAAGCAAAAACTAGATAATGTTGATACGAAAAGATACAAGAACAAGCATGACCCAACAGAAATAATTCGAATCTCGAATGAAATTGTGTCCAAGCTTCAATGCAATGGGAGAGAAATATACTTGGTAATACTAATAAATATGACAGGCTGCATTTAAACCCGGATTAGTTTCTGCCTTATTATTAATCATCAACAATATATTAGGTGAGAACGTAACAGAATACCAAGATATATATATATATATATATATATATATATATATATATATATATGTATGAGTAATCTTGAAAGCAATGTGAATGTCTGCCTTCTCACCAATTCACATGGAAAACGAAGACGTTTTGTCATTCTTAACAATAACTAGTAAGCAATAAGCGAGCAATTACACAAAGACAAAATAAAAAAATATATTTTTTTTATAGGAGAATTCTAGTTCTTAGAACTTATAAAGCTAGCTTTATGACTTAATGGGGGCGTATCATATTTCACTGCGAACTATTTAGAGCCCGTTTAATTCGCTGATTTAAATTTTTAATTCGAGTCAAGATGTGATTTTATGTGAGAACTTTTTATTGTAGTAAAAAAATTGGTCTTGTATTTTGACACCATTAACAGGGTGGCCCATATATATCTTGAGTTTACTTCGACTTCTCTCCAACATATACACCGGTGTGAAGACTTGCCAAAAAAAAAAGTTGGGGCGCGTTTGGAACTCGTTCTAAAATGATTTTATTTTTTGTATGAAAATGAAAATGAAAATGTTTTCAATCTCAGACAGAAATCATTATTAAAAATGTGTTTAGTAGTTTTATCAAGAAATTATTTTCAGTATAATAAAACTTATTAATGTCTATCTTTCTCTCTCTACTCAAGAGAATAAAAAATAAAAATAAAAAATAAAAAATGATTAAAAGTCGTTTTTCATTTCTCTCTCATTTTACACTAAACTAAAAAATCGTTTTCATTTCCGTTTTTGTCTTTATTGCGCCAAACGCCGTTTTGAAAACGTTTTTATTTTTTCTTTCTCAAAAAATGTGAAAAATAAAAACGAGATCAATTCCAAACACGGCCTTGATCTTCTAATTTTGGAGAAACGTATTGATTTAAAAAAAAAAAAAAAAAAAAACAATTAATTGACAAACCCCTCTAGTCAAAACTCTCCGCCTTCAACTGGACATTGCACAAATTTGCCCACCACCAAAATGAAGCTTGAGAACCCTTCTAGTTCATTTGCTTTCTGGTCTTTGTTCCTTCGTGTGATTCTTCTCTATTTTGCGAGCATATCACAACCTACAAGCACCGTTGCCAATGCATTAGGCAATGAAACTGACAGGTTTGCTCGGCTCAAATTCAAAGAAATGATTTCCAACGATCCGTTTGGAGTCATGAGCTCATGGAACGATTCCGTTCACTTTCGCAAATGGCCTGGAATTTCATGCGGCAGACGACATCAAAGGATAACAGCCTTGGACTTACAAGGCTATAACTTGAGAGGGCTCATGTCACCATACGTTGGAAACCTCAGTTTTTTGAGGTTCATTGACCTAACAAATAATAGCTTCTTCCGTGAAATGTCGGTGAGGGAATGTGAGACTAAGTTTAATGACTTATTCTGATTTGCACTATCTTTGATGGAGTCTGAATACCTGAAGAGTCTTAAGTTTGAAAAAGGTCTGAAGAGCTCGATAAGGAGGTCGTTGGTGGCTCTAAGGATTCGTAACTATTGGGAATTGGTGGCAGCTGTTATAAGCGTGGAATAAGATAATCGAGCCTTTTATCTCACCGCAAGTCGGTCATTTGCGTCGGCTGCAACATCTCAATCTGAGGCGCAACATGTTGGAAGGAAAAATTCCAGTCAACTTGAGCTACTGCTCAAAGCTGAGGATCTTAAAACTTGAAAGAAACAAACTTACTGGAGTGATTCCTTTGGAGCTTGGATCTCTCGTGAAGCTTGTGCAGCTTATTCTTGAAAATAACAATCTCACAGGGGTCATCCCAAGTTCCTTCGGTAACATCTCCTCACTTCGTCAATTTTCAGTTGTAGGCAATAACCTGGTGGGAACAATTCCCCATGAGTTAGGCAGATTGAAAAAGTTGATTATCTTTGCAATAGGAGTCAATAATCTGTCTGGGGAAATTCCCCTTTCTATTTACAATATATCATCTACGCGCGTTTTCTCAAATCATTTGATATCGCTGGGATTCAGTTTTTCGGACACGTTCCTGCTAATTTAGGAAATCTTCCGGATCTTCGGTGGTCTGGGTTAGATGAAAATATTTCAGGAAACAATTCAACTAATAGCTTGGATTTTATTCCGTCTTTAACAAATTGTAGCAAACTGGAAGTATTGGGTTTAGGTTTGAACAATTTTGGAGGTGTTTTACCCAACTCCATAGCTAATTTGTCAACCCGGCTCACTAAGCTTTTTCTTGAAGCCAATCAAATATCTGGAAGTATTCCTACATCGTTGGAAAATCTGGTAAACTTAGGGGTTGTTTGGTTGGGAGATTTATACTCCGATTCGAATCATAGTTCATAATTCGCTACAGTATTTTCTCTCACAAAAAATACACGTAAATCGAAAATGGTTCTAATCTTATGATTCTAATCCATGAACCAAACGTCTCCTTAATGATCTTGTCCGTGTGGATAATCGGTTCACTGGTGTTATTCCAACTTCTCTTGGGAAGTTGCAAAATTTGCCGGGTCTGTATTTGCATCAAAACAGATTATCTGGAAAGATCCCTTTATCCATAGGAAACCTCATTCATATATCTGATCTTTTTCTAGGACATAACAGGTTAGAAGGAACTCTTCCTCCAAACTTTGCAAACCTCCAAAATCTGCAATACCTTGATATTTCAAACAACAACCTAGGTGGAGCAATACCCAAATGACGTTCAAGAAGGACAATGACAAAATATGACATCTTTGATGACCCTCCTACGTGGCCGTCAACTTAAACATACTTAATATATTTTTAGACTTAAATTCCTCAAAGTTCGCGGCTCCGATGACGGCGCTCCGACGAGAATGGAGTGAAAATACCGGATGGGTATGAGTCCACAGAGACCGGAATCACCTTGATCGGAGGTCGGATATCATGACGGGAACAAATGAGTATTTTCAGAACTTCTGCCGGCGATTGCAGCTTCATGCAGAAGAGTTGGCGGCCGCATGACACCATTCCGAGCTCAGCTCAACAAGAGCTTTCCATTGGTCTGGGGGGTGTCGAAAATAGACACCTGAATCTTCATCGGAGTGTTTTGGCCGTGAATGGAGAAGAAAATAGAGAGAGAGAGAGAGAGAGCTCAGCTCGACAAGAGCTTTCCATTGGTGTGGGAGGTGTCGAAAATAGACACCCGAATCTTCATTGGTGTTTTGGCCGTGAATGGAGGAGAAAATAGAGAGAGAGAGAGAGAGAGAGAGAGAGAGAGAGAGAGAGAGAGAGTGAACGTGAGGGAAGTGAGAGAGAGAAAGTATCTCCATAATTACAACACCTAACACATAAAATCGATGGCAGATCTCGTCTCTTGATCTTATCCTCAAAGACTCCCTCCAAATAGATAAAATTTATACTGATTAGAGGTAATTAGCTTAGCTGACATAAATTATTCTACTGCTTACAGTCTGAGGTTAATCTCCAAGTAATTTAATGCTCATTTTGAATCTAAATCGTGTAAACAATCGGACTGTTTCAAGTCTAAAAATTGTTTTTAGACTAATTAAAATCTTAACTTGATTTTTCTATATTTTACCTCAAAAATTAAATAATTACTAACAATGTCAATTCCCGAGATCGGATAACATTTTTTTTTTTATCAAAAATGCTATTAGCGTAAATCTGGTTGAACTAATTTGGCAATTAAGGACTGCTTGAGTGTTAGAATGTTTCTTAGTACACTGCTAACACTGTAATATAGTTAGAAATTCTTCCAATTAAAATTCTCAAGTTATTTTCGGATTAAAATTCTTTCCGCCTTAAACGCGGTGAGAATTATTAACCGAACTGCTTGATCACGAAAAGTGAATTTAACTTAAAATTTACTATGGAATTTTAAAATATTAATATTAATTTCATAAATCATTTATTTACGAAATCAAACATGATATTTTCTGAGAGAATCCTTGATTTAAATATGTAAATTATATTATTTAGTTCTAGGATTTTCTCAATCATTACAACATCATCAAGGAAAACAAAAAAACCAAATAAACGACTAAATTTAAACAAATAATATTTTCTTTTTTTATTTGTACAAAGTATTTTTAGGATAAATAAGTTATTAAGATTACATTTTTCTTAGAATGTAGGAGAGGTATAAATATAATGAGTTATATTCACATTCTACAAAAACAAAAGCATTTTATTATTTTTCGAACAGCAATGAGAATTAAAATTTTCAATTGGTATGTGAATAACTATGTACAATTTACATCAAAATATACAAGAACAAGAATAACCGAAGAGAATTAACTCCAATCTTAAGAGAAAGTTCAAAAAGCCCGTTTCCAATTAAGCTTCAATAGTGCTTTCTATACAAATGGGAGGGACACATTCTTGGTGACATTAATTCTTTCCATGACTTTGCAAAGTCGCCAAAAGGTGCACTGGCCATTTGTTTGAGCAAAGAAACATAAATGTGCATTCTTTAGGCCTTGATCTAACAGACAAGATATACAATCTGTGAGTGTTTCATTTGCAAATCTGTTTTCTTCTCTACTACTTCAATATCGACACACCAACCCGATCGACAAAAATTCAATTTTCGGATCTCGAGCCTCGAGAATCACTATGTCCACTGTGGGCATGGAAGTAATTTAGAACAAACATGGCTTCTATGGAACTGTTATGAGCTAGAAGACGTGCCTTGACTGCAAAAACGTGTACACAAGTGTCAAAATCGGATCGACAAACACCATCCATGGCTTGTACCAAATTTTCAAACACGGCAAATATGACAACTAGTGAAAATTTTTAACCTTAGTAAAACTATCAGTGGTATGCCCACTGAGACTAAAGTGACTTCGCCACTATAATTCCCCAGTCTTTGCCCTCTGAATGTGATTTTGCTTAATTTGACACCAATAACTTCTTATATGATCTCTCCAACGCACAGACGCGTGCAAAGACTTGTAAAAATAATAATAATAATAAATAGTTGTCCTTTTGATTTTGGAGAAAAAAGTAATGATAAAAACTAAACCCTCTGTTGAAACCTCTCTGCCTTTAACTGGATATTGCACAAAATTCCCCACCACGAAAATGAAACTTGAGAACCTCACTAGTTCATTTGCTTTTTGGTCTTTGTTCCTTCATGTGATTCTTCTCTATTTTGTGAGCTTATTACAACAGACAGGCACCGTTGCCAATACATTAGGCAATGAAACTGACAGGTTTGCTCTGCTCAAATTCAAAGAAATGATTTCCAGCGGTCCGTATGGAGTCATGAGCTCGTGGAACGATTCCGTTCACTTTTGCAAATGGCCTGGAATTTCATGTGGCAAACGACATCAAAGGATAACAGCCTTGGACTTACATGGCTATAACTTGAGAGGGCTCATGTCACCTTACATTGGAAACCTCAGCTTTTTGAGGTTCATTTACCTTGGTGAAAATAGTTTCTTCGGTGAAATCCCACCGCAAGTCGGTCATCTGCGTCGGCTGCGACATCTCAATCTTAGTTACAACATGTTGCAAGGAAAAATTCCGGTCAACTTGAGCCACTGCTCAAAGCTGAGGATCTTAAGACTCCGAAAAAACAAACTTACTGGAGTGATTCCCTTGGAGCTTGGCTCTTTGCTAAAGCTTGTGGAGCTTGGTCTTTCTGAAAACAATCTCACAGGAGTTATCCCAACTTCCTTAGGTAACATTTCTTCACTTCGTCTATTTGGTGTTTCAACCAATAACCTGGTGGGAACTATTCCCAATGAGTTAGGGAGATTGGAAAGGTTAAATTTTTTTGCAATAGGTGTTAATAATCTTTCCGCTGCAATCCCTATCTCTCTTTACAATGTATCGTCTATGCACACTTTCTCCATCGTTGATAATCATTTTAAAGGCATTCTTCCTCCCAACATCGGCTTCACACTACCTAATCTTCAGATTTTTTTCATTAGTGGTAATGAATTCTCTGGGACAATTCCAAGTTCTATTCCGAATGCTACTGAACTTCAAGTATTTGAATGTTTGGATAATAAATTTTTCGGACAAGTTCCCACTAATTTGGGAAATCTTCCGGATCTTCGGTGGCTCGGATTAGGTCGTAATATCTTAGGAAATAATTCAGCTAATAGCTTGGATTTTATTCCACCTTTAACAAATTGTAGCAAACTAGAAATATTGGGTCTGAGTGAGAACAATTTTGGAGGTGTTTTACCCAACTCTATAGCTAATTTGTCAACCCGACTCACTAAGCTTTTTCTTGAAGCCAATCAAATATCTGGAAGTATTCCTACATCGTTGGAAAATCTGGTAAACTTAATGATCTTGTCCATGTGGGATAATCGGTTCACTGGTGTTATTCCAACTTCTCTTGGGAAGTTGCAAAATTTACAGGTTTTGTATTTGGACCACAACAGATTATCTGGAAAGATCCCTTCATCCATAGGAAACCTCATTCATATATCTGATCTTTTTCTAGGACATAACAGGTTAGAAGGAACTCTTCCTCCAAACTTTGCAAACCTCCGAAATATGCAATACCTTGATATTTCAAACAACAACCTAGGTGGAGCAATACCCAAAGGAGTTTTAAGTCTTCTCTCACCTATCCATTTTGACTTTTCTTCGAACTCATTCACCGGAAGCCTTCCTATGGAAGTGGGTAAGCTAAAGAATATAAATCAGCTTGATTTGTCGGAAAACAATCTGACTAGTGAGATTCCAGAAACAATTGGGGATTGTCAAACTCTCGAATTCCTTCTCCTCCAAGGAAATTCCTTCCAAGGTATCATGCCTTCTACATTGGCTTCTTTAAGAGGTCTTCAGTCCTTGGATATTTCACGAAATAACTTGATTGGACGAATTCCGCTCGGTTTAACAGAACCTTCCTTTCTTGACATATTTGAATCTTTCTTTCAATGATTTAGAGGGAGAAGTACCAAAGAAAGGTGTATTCCAGAATGCAAGTGCTGTATCGTTTGTTAGAAATTCTAAGCTCTGTGGTGGTGTACCGAAATTGCAGCTTCCTCCATGTCCCATCAAAGCATCAAAGAAACGAATGACAGTAGATCTCAAACTGAAAATCATAATAGTTTCAGTGGTTGTTCTTTTCCTTCTGCTTTCAGCTTTGCTTGTCTTTTATTGGAGGAGGAAATATGTTAGCAAATCGCCTTCTGCACTCTTAGAAATAAGCTTCCTTTCCACTGTTTCATACAAAAGGCTCTATCAGGCAACTAGTGGATTCTCTCCAAGCATGTTGATCGGAACAGGAAGCTTCGGCTCTGTATATAAAGGAATTCTTGAGCAAGAAGAAAGTGTAGTTGCTGTGAAGGTCCTCAATCTTCAGCAGAAAGGAGCTTCCAAGAGCTTCATTGATGAATGCAAAGCATTGAGAAATATCCGGCATCGGAATCTTGTTAAGATCTTAACATGTTGCTCGAGCATGGATTACAAGGGCAACGACTTCAAGGCTTTAATATTTGAGTATATGTCTAATGGAAGCCTAGACAAGTGGCTGCATTCGTTGGAGGGTGGAAATAACCAATCAATGGGTTTGAACCTAATTCAGAGGTTAAATATTGCTATAGATGTGGCATCTGCAATAGACTATCTTCATGACCATTGTGAACAGTCGATTATTCACTGCGACTTGAAACCTAGCAATGTCCTTCTCGACAATGAAATGATTGGTCATGTTAGTGACTTTGGATTAGCAAGGTTGGTCTCAAACACCACCGGTCTATCCGCAAGTCAAAGTAGCACAATTGGAATAAAGGGAACTATTGGCTACATTGCTCCAGGTAACAATTTTGCCACTCTTTCATTTCTTGTATTTTTTTTTTCTAAATATAAATAAGTTGATGGAATTTCATTATTAAATATAGAACAAGCAATTGAATGTGGGCTACTTTTTTATAATTATTGATTACATTTAAGTGTATTTCTTCCTTTTTTACATTCTAATGAGAGTTCAAATTCAAAAATTTGTAACAGCTAGTTTTAACGGCATTAATAAAATAGTATTTTGTAAGTTGAAATACAAAAATTTGTAACGGTTAATTATGTATAGCAGTAAGAAAACTGTATTTTGTAAATAACATTGGTTTATTTTTTTTATTTCACTGTTAATTACTTACCACGGCTAATTATATATAAAATATCATGATTATTGGTACTATAATTACTTGAAGAATGTGTCATGAGAGTAACACAAAATAATAATAATACTTGTGTTATCTTTTATGATCTGAACTAATACATCATTGTATATAATACAAAAAAGGTTTACCAATTTTATATTGTTATGTTTTGCTTGCAGAGTACGCAACCGGTGGTGAGCCATCAAAACAGGGAGATGTCTATAGCTATGGGATCCTTGTGTTGGAGATGTTCACAGGAAGAAGGCCCACTGATGAAATGTTCAAAGACGATTTCAATCTCCATAACTTCGTTAAGATGGCATTGCCGGAAAGACTTGTGCGAATTGTGGACTCTTCTCTTCTCCCCACAGAAGTAGAAGAAAACGCAACGAGAGCTAGTGAAGATCGAAGAGACAATGGGAACAATGGAAGCGTTGAGATTGACATAGAAGAAGAAAACATCGACTTCGAAAACCGGAACCAAATCAGCGCTCATCTGCAGAAGTGCTTGGTTTCGGTCCTGGAGATTGGACTTGCATGTTCAAAAGAATCACCAAATGAGAGAATCAACATTGGAGATGTGACCAGGGAGTTACAGCACATCAAAAATGCTTTTATGGATGTTGAAGTCCGTGGACAGAGAAGAAGGTCCAGCCAAATAAGAGGTAGGTAGTTAAGGACTAACAGTTGACCAGTTCAATAATTTTTCTAAAATTACCTATAGGTTGAAAATCTATTGATTTTGCTCTAAATCAAAATAATGTTTTGTATTTTTGCTAACTTTTTTAAACTGACATGTTTCTTAAATTTCAGGTGCTTGAAACTTTTCTAATAGGAATCAGACGATGAACTTGCAATCTGCTCTTCAACCGAAGTGGTCTAGTTTATGGATGTTTTTATTCTGTTTTCTTATCTTTAGATATATGCTTCTATGTATTATGTCTTTTTTTTTTTTTTTTGGTTCTGTTTCTGTTATTGTCGTTTCTCAGGTGGCAGTTGTCTCTAATCTTTTTCGTGTTTTTTTTTTTTTCAGTTGATTGAAATGTTATTTTCCTTTCATAGGTTCCTGTCGTGTTTGATTGTTGTCGTTTCTATGGCTGTTGTCGTTTAAAAAAATGTAATCCTTTTGAAACTTAGTTGTCCTTTCTCTTGTTACTTTCGTTTTTTAGGTTATTTTTGTTTTTATTTCCTATGTTACTTTCGATAGTTATATTATCTCCTTTTTTGTTTTGTTGTTCTTTTTAGTTTTTACTATGTTTCTATATTATGGCCTTTTTCTAGTTATTATTTTAAAAATATAATGTCGTTTGACATGTCTTTTGTCGTTTTCATATTTTCACTAAATTATATCAGTGTCTCGGTATTCAAATATTATTAAGGGCACGTTTAGTTCGCTGATTTTAGTTTTTTATTTAAGTTGATATGTGACTTTATATGAGAGCTTTTTACAGTAGCAAAAAAGGTAGATAAGGCTGTTTCAGAGAGCTTTTTACTGTAACAAAACTCAAATTTTAAACTCGGATCGATGAAATGAACGAGGCCTAAGTAAGTATCCCGTACTTAAAAAAAAAAAAAAAAAAGCTCTCCAAGTATCCCAACATGAACATCTTTTTCTTTTTTTACTTAAAATGCCATATTTTTCTTTTTCTTCTCATTTTTAACATAATTCTGATACTGATTTTTAAAATGATTGAAAATGATCATCATCATTTTTAACATATCGAGGAGCTAGCTAGTAGCCCCATATACTATTGGATTCTCAAGATTGGAGGAAAGAACGACGATGGAATGGGCTGAGTTGAGTTGAGTACAAACGAAGGATAGGTATTAGCTAAAGGGCGCAGGCAGAACTAGGTGTTATTTTGACTTATCCGGCCGAGATAGAAGTGAATACTAAACGAAGAGCTCAATGGGCCACCATTTTCATGACATGTATGCCGTGCTGATGAATGCCTTGGGTCCTTTCTATCGGCATTTTCGGACTTACCGTTCTCAGGCATATTTGGAAGACAAAGATAGGGCGATGCAAGGCCGGGTCGATCCCTTGAATCCTAGTTTGAGATTACCCAGTACTCACCAGAAGTCTGCTGTGGTACCTCTTTCAAGATAGAGCTTGCTACTAAGCTAGCCCGGACGACCAAGTTTGATCAATGGATTCGCGCCTCTCTGATAAGATCATCTCCACGAGCTAAATCCCAAACTTGGAACGCACTTTTTCACTCCCTTTTGGTTACTCTTTCTTAAGCCTAACGACTACTTTATGTTAATGACGATTTTGAATGTTTGCGATTTAAACGAGAAATAAAACGACAATTACAAAATACAACATCATCAAGGTTAGCAAAAAACAAAATAAACGACTGAAATATAAACAAACAATTTTTTTTCCCTATTTTTAAGCCTACTGATGTGGAAGATCAGTCAAAACTGCAACCACAGAGCATACTCAAAGTTTCAAGAGATCCTACAACCCCACTCACAACCCACTCTGATACCAGATTGTTGAACACAACACTATTGCGCACACTAATTAAACTGTTATTATTATTATAATAACAATAATAATTGTTACAACATGACCACAAATACAAGACTATTACAAACTCAAAATTGGACACACTCACAAATAAAGAAGAACTAGGACACTACAAGACTACTTCACTCTATTTCTCTTCCAAGTTTTTTCCGTACATAGCCAAGAGATGGACACCTATTTATACTAGAGATAGGCTAATGATGTCTGCATATTATTCAAGCCTACTTTAATTACCATCACATAATAATTATATAATCATATATAAACCAAGACCACACACGTACACAACTTCTATATATGAGCTTATTATATATTTGGGCTAATAAGTTTATGGCTGGTGATGATACTTCAATAGAGCTTTATCTGGGAAATAACTAATTGGAAGGAACTCTTCCTCCAAACTTTACAGAACTCCAAAATCTACAATACTTTTGTTAGTGCATTTTTTGTGTTGGCTTATTTTTGACAAATTAGTTGTAAGATTGGTTGGCATTGTAAATTGGTAGTCCTTTTAAAAAAAGTTTGGTTGTCATGTTTATTGGCTGCAAATCAAGAGTGGACTTTCTGGAGCATTATGGCTGGCTCTTCTAAGGAAAGAATTGTGGAAAATATTGGGAATGATTGTCTTCTTACTGTCATTAGAGTTGGTGACCTGATTTGTGGTGTTAATGGAGGAGATATTACCTTTTGGGTGTGCTTATTGTCGGTGGGAGAGTGTTGCTGATTGTTGGACGAAAAAAAAAGTGGTATGAGGGTTTGTGATGATGAGGGCAGAATGTGTAATGAACACACAGGGCTGAAAACAGAAACGTTGCATTTGTCCATATCATAATAAGATTGTAATGTTAAGTGTCGCTTGATGTGTTGCGACGAATTGTTAGAACGCTTTCGAGTTGGTTCTTCGGGAGAAGATTTCTTTGGTTTCGGGAGGAAACCGTCAGGTCGAGTGGTGTTCGCTGATCAACCTTTCTAAGGAGATTCTAGGCAACGGCGACAACATCAAGGAGGGAGTCGTTGAGTGTGTAAGACCGTTTGGTCCTTTGTAATCTTTTGAACTTAGTGGATTGATCATTGTCTGGGCGTGGCCCCGCAGAGTAGGTGTGCGCACCGAACTGCGATATTATTTTTTTTGGCGTCCTTTACGTTTCTGCATAAGTTTCCTGTTTTACTATTTTGCTGGTTTAATTTTAGATTTTTTGTCACAAAAAGTGTTACAGTAAAGTGTTGCAACACCACTTGTGACACCAGGATAAAAACGGACCTTACAACCATGATATTTCAAACAATAACCTAGCTGGAGCTATACCCAAAGGAGTTCTGCGTTTGGAGTAAGAATTCGTGCTATGATTCGGATCATGGTTCGTGACTCGCTACAGTGTTTTTTCTAACAAAAAACACACGTAAATTGAGATTGGTTCTGAATCATAATTCTGAATCCATGAACCAAACGTCGCCAAGTCTTGTCTCATCCATCCAACTAAACTTTTCTTGGAACTCATTTAATGGCAACCTTACTACGGAAGTGGGGAAGCTAAAGAATGTCAATATGCTTGATTTTTCAGAAAATGATCTGACTAATGAAATTCCAGAAACCATTGGAGATTGTCAAACTCTTGAATTCCTTTACCTAGGAGGAAATTCCTTCCGAGGTGTCTTGCCTTTTACGTTGGCTTCTCTAAGAGGTCTTCAGTACTAGCTTGGATATTTCGCGAAATAACTTGACCAAACAAATTCCTTTGTTGATATATTTGAATCTTTCTTTCAACGATCTAGAGGGAGAAGTACCAAAGAAAGGCATCTTCAAGAACACAAGTGTCATATCGTTCGTTGGAAATAGTAAGCTTTGTGGTGGTGTGCCGAAATTGCAGCTTCCTCCGTGTCCAATCAAGGCATCTGATCAAGGAAAGACCCGAGGTGTCAAACTGATAGTCATAATAGTTTCAATGGTTGTGATTTTCCTTCTGTTTTCAGCTTTGCTTGTCTTTTATTCGAGAAGGAAATCAATAAGGAAATCGACCTCCGCGCCATTAGAAATAAGCTTTCTCTCCACGGTTTCATACAAAAGCCTTTATCATGCAACCAATGGATTCTCTCCAAGCATGTTGCTTGGAACGGGTAGCTTTGGCTCTGTATATAAAGGAATTCTTGAGGAAGAAGAAAGTGTAGTTGCTGTGAAGGTCCTCAACCTTCACCAGAAAGGAGCTTTCAAATGCTTCATTGCTGAATGCCATACATTGAGATATATTCGGCATCGAAATGATCTTGTTAAGATCTTGACGTGTTGCTTGAGCGTGGATTACAAGGGCAATGAGTGCAAGATTTAAAATGATCTAAAATGATCTAAACATGATCTAAACAAGATCATAATAACTAATCTAGCCTAAAATCTGAAAATGCCACAAAATTCTTTTTTTGGCAATGAATTCAAGGCTTTAATATTCGAGTATATGTCTAATGGAAACCTAGACATGTGGCTGCATTCAATGGAAGATGGCCATAACCAGTCCGGGGGTTTGAACCTAATTCTGAGATTAAATATTGCTATAGATGTGGCCTCTGAATTAATATACTATCTTCATGACCATTGTGAACAGCCAATCATTCACTGCGACTTGAATTCTAGCAATGTCCTCCTTGCTAGTGAAATGATTGGTCATGTTAGTGATTTCGGTTTGGCAAGGTTGATTTCAGACACCACCGGTTTATCCGAGAAAATCGAAGTAGCACAATTGGAATGAAGGGAACCATTGGATACACTGAGCCAGGTAACAATTATGTAATTGTTAATTTCTTGGAAGTATAAAAAAGTTAATGGAATCTTAGTATTTAACTTCTTCTCTTTTATAATAGTTGATTGCATATACTTCATCCTTTTTCACATTCAACAACTTAAAATGTAAGAATTTGGAAAGGATTATTTTTTATAGCACTTATAAAAAACATATTTAGTAAATAGCACTTCTGTAGATTTTTTTTTTTCTAAGCGTACGTGTACTGAACACAAGTAATATAATTGTGAAATGCATTATTATGACTATTAGTATTAATTACTATAATTACTAGAAAAATCTGTTGTGAGAGTTACACACACAAGAAAAAATTAAAGATCAAAATGAGTCCTGTATATCTTTCAAGGTCTGAACTAATACATAAATATATTATTTCAAACAAAAAAAAAATTACAAAAGCCATATTGCTATGTGTTGCTTGCAGAGTAATTAAAACTAGTGTTTTCTTTAAATATTTGAACTAATACATCGTTGTTGTATTATACAAAAAGATTTACAAATTCGTTATTGTTATGTGTTGCTTGCAAAGTACGCAATCGGCGGTGAGCCATCAAAAGAGGGAGACGTCTATAGCCATGGGATCCTTGTGTTAGAGATGTTCACAGGAAGAAGACCCGCAGATGAAATGTTCAAAGATGATTTCAATCTCCATAACTTCTTTAAGATGGCATTGCCCGAAAGACTCGTGCAAGTTGTGGATTCTTCTCTCCTCAATCGAGAAGTAGAAGAAAAGCGAAGATCGAAGAAACTATGGGAACAATGGAGGCATTGAGATTGACATAGAAGAGGAAAACATCAACTTCAGAAACCGAAACCAGATCAGCGCTCCTCTGCAGAAGTGCTTGATTTCGGTCCTGGAGATTGGACTTGCGTGTTCAAAAGAGTCACCAAATGATAGAATCAACAGGGGAGATGTGACCAGGGAGTTACAGCATATTAGCAATGCTTATATGGATGTTGATGCCGAGAGAGAAGAAAAAGGAGAAAACGGAAACAAAAAATAAAAAAAGATTAAAAGTCGTTTTTCACTTCTCTCTCATTTTACACTAAATTAAAAAATCGTTTTCATTTTCATTTTTTATTGTCAAACGCTGTTTTTCTCTCATTTTCATTTTTTCTTTCTCGAAAAATGTGAAAAACGAAAACATAAACTACTCCAAACACAGCCAATATTTTTGTATTTTTGCGAATGTATTTTAATTTCAGGTGCTTGAAATTTTTCTAAAACGAATCAGACGTTGAAGACCTTTTTTTTTTTCCTTTTCCCCTCCTACAACTCTCTCAAAGAAGACGCTTGCATCTGCTCTTTATGGATGTTTTTATTATGTTTTCTCCTCTTTGGATATGCTTCTATGTATTATGGCTTTTTTATGTTCTGGTTCTTTTTCTGTTATCGTCGTTTGTCAGGTGGTAGTTGTTTCTAGTTGAGTGAAATGGTTACTTTCCTCTCATAGGTTCTTGTCCTTTGTTGATTGTTGTCGTTTCTATGGTTATTGTCGTTTGAACAAATTGTCCTACTTTTTCCTCTCTTGTTATCCTTACTTTTTTTTTAGGTAACTTCTATTTCTATTTCTATCGTTACTTTCGAAAGTTGTTAGCTCCTTCATTTTTCTTTGTGGTTCTGTTTAGTTTTTTCTGTCGCTTCTATATTTTGGCCTTTTCAGCTTGTTATCGTTTCAAAAATATGATGTTGGTTTATACGTCTTTTGTCGTTTCCACAATTTCCCTAATCCCTACTCTCCTGTCTCGTTAGATTTCAAGTTAGGGAAAATTACATCATTATTTCCGTGTTCAGATATTATTAAATTAATGTTCTGTTTGGTAAGAAGGAAAGAAAATGGGAGAGAAAGGAAAACTATAATGCATAGAAAATTAGAAGGATAGAAAAGATTTTGATTTTTTCTTGACTTGTTTGGTATGATAGGAAAGAAAGAAAATGATTCTACATTCTCTTGTTTGGTATTGGAAGTGAAACTAAAGGGATGGAAAAATTCTTATTGGTGTAATTACTTTTTTACCTAAATATTTTTTTATTAATATTCTTTTCTAATAAAAGTATAAATAATACAGTATTCAACATCAAATTAACTCAAAAAATTCATGTAACTTAAACATATATTCTATCTATATTATGTATATATATACACACACATACATATATAAAGGTGCAAAAACATAGGTGGCGTTTGAAATTCATTCTAAAATGATTTTGTTTTCTGTATGAAAATGAAAATAAAAACGTTTTCATTTCTATTTTGGAATCATTTCTGAAAATGCATTTGGTAGTTTTATTCTGAGATTATTTTCAGTTTTAAAAAACTGAAACTGCGTTTGACGGTTTAATTTTTAAAAACATGAAATAATATTTTAAATAATAATATATTAAATAAGTAATAATTGAATCTCAAATAAAAATACTAATAATTAAAATAATAAATTAAATTACATTACAAATAAATAATAAATAATTTAAAAAAGTTTACTTCTTATCCAATCTTAAATAGCATAAATGCAGGAAAATTATAATCCAATACACTCATATCTTGTATCTAAAAAAATGCCGTAAGAACAATGTGAAACCTGTTTCTCCATTTCCCAAATACTTTCAAACATTTCCCAAATACTTTGGCCAAACTCCTTCTCCCGCACGCGTTGGACTGCATCAAAGTGTCCTGGTGTGCTAAGTGGAGAGAAAGCCCATTGCCCATTTATCTCTTCTTTCTAAAAAAAAAAAAAAAAAGCACCAATTTTGGAGCCAAAATGAGGACAATTTAGTAATTTAAGTAGTTATCCACATTTTTCTTCTTAAAATCCTCCCACTTTTAGAGGGATTAAAAATGGTGGGACCCACCAATTATAATTTCCTTTCAATTTTCTTTTCCTTCCCAATTTCCTTTCTGCCAAACAAGTTAATTTACTAATTTTCATCCTAAAATTCCTACAACATTTTCTTTCCTTCCACTTTTCATTCATACCAAACATAGTGTAAGTATCCCATACTTAAAGGAAAAAATGCTCTCCAATTATCCCAACAGGAACATCTTTTTTTTTTCACTTAAATTGTCATTTTATGCCATTTTTCTCGCTTTTAATCATAATTCTGGAAGTACAGCAACAACTCAGAAACCACAATTACAAAATACGACATCATCTAGGTAAACGAAAAACCAAATAAACGATTAAAATCTAAACAAACAATATTTTCTACGTAGAACTTATAAGCCTAAAATGAAAATGCACTTCATGTTTTAGGACAAACAACGTGTTATTGGGCCTGTTTGTTTGCGTTTTCATTTTCGTTTTTCACGGTTTTCAAAGCAAAAAAATGAAAACGGGTGTTAAAAACGTGTTTGGTGCAATTTTTTTTAAAAAACAAAACCAAAAACGTTTTTGTCTTTTTGTGGAAACCAGAAAACGAAAAAAAAGGGTCTGTTTGTTTGCATTTTCGTTTTCGTTTTTCACGGTTTTCAAAGCAAAAAAATGAAAACGGGTGTTAAAAACGTGTTTGGTGCAATTTTTTTTAAAAAACAAAACCAAAAACGTTTTTGTCTTTTTGTGGAAATCAGAAAACGAAAAAAA